CGATCAGTCCAGCCAGCCTGCAGCAGCAGATTTAAAAAAAAAAAATTTTAAATCAACGTTTCTCAACAGTTACGGTTTTTTTTTGTTAAAGTAAAATTGCTAAAATCACAGAAAAAAGTATTATTTTACATAAGTCCACATTAAAAAAAAAAACCCCAAAAAATGCTTTTTGTGTTTGTTTTTTTACTCATAGTAATTAATTCTTTTGCAATATGTGAATGTGAAATTACAATTTAATTTGTAAATTCGCTTTATTTAGTTTTTATTACTTTACATAATAGTAACTGAAAAGTGATTTTTAAAAAGTTTTGGCCATTTACTTTTCCAGATTTTATAAATTTTCATTTTTTTTTTGGTCAATTACAGATAGTTTCTCAAAAACAAAAGAAAAAGTATTCATTTGCATGTTAAATTACAAAAAAAAAGTTCAACAACTGTAAATAGTCATATATATATATGCATTTGTACACCATAAAATGACATCATTCCACACTCCACACTCATAAAATCTTAATCAACTGTAAGTAGTTACATAATCTGCTAACTGTTGTGCCTTCTGGTGTATTTTATTCATTTATCTTACCCTTGCTGTCCATGAATCCACTGTTTTTGCAAAGAAACCCAGAAAGAAAGCAAAAGCATTTTATTTAAAGAACACACAAAAACAATTATGAATAGACAAAGATGAAATACAATAAAAATGTAACAATGACAACGTAAAGAGTACAGACAAACAGCCTGATAGCCATCGTTTATTATTTTTTTATTGTTCTTATTGAGATATTTGGTATAAAACAATATTATTTTTGCTATTTTATGTCAACAATCCAAAATAGAACATTATTATAAATACTTTTAGCATTTTATGTTTTTCATTTGGATAAATGCAAATTGCACAACAGAATTCTTATGTGAGATATCAAAAGCATTCCCAAACCCATAAAATATTAATAAATTGTAAACTGTAATAAACTGTCATCTAAACTCCTGTGCCTTCTAGTTTATTGTACAAAATATTCTTACTTTTACTTTCTGTGGTTTTTGCGAAACAAATAAAAAATGACCTATAATGTTCAGCAGACCAGTAATCAAATCAAAATTGGTAATCACCTCATCTGTAAATGTGTTTGGATTAACAGATAAATACAGCAGCAGCAACAGCATTAAAAACCAGAGCAACATCTGTATGGTTCGACTAGATGTGAGTCCCCACGTGGTCGTCTATACGCTGCTATATACACTTTTGAAATTGATTTTTACTGCTCTAAAGCTCTTAATCTCTCATTTAAAGCTGCACTGACAGATTTCGTTGTCCTCTGAAAAAGACAAATGTGACAAATAAGTCTGACGAGTGTAATTTAAATTCATACTCTTTTTTGCTCAATTTTGGTCTCCTCCAAATCTTGAGAAACCAGTTAGTTGTTCTTAGTGGTTCAAAATGAAGAGGAGAATCAAATAAAGGGCCCCTTGCTTGTACTTTATGTGCAGTAAGTTCACAGGGAAACCTGACAGTGAAGAAGAGCCAGAGGTTCCCGTTTTGCCTCAAGCTCTTCATGAATCATTCTCCATTGAAATAAATGACTTGAAAAACTAGCAGAACAGAGTCCAGTATAATCAGCTCACTTACAATGCCTTAAAGTGAATTTAAAAGTGTGAAAATGCATCAGCATCAGGTACAGAAACCTGCTTGAACAAGACACTTTGCATTTAAATCAGATTACTGCTCTCCTAGTTTAGACTGATTCAGACCTTTAAGGTACGAGCACATATTTAAGAAAAGTGTGAATGTACCACCAGAGCTGCAAACATGGCATACAGTACAATCATTTCTGAAGTCTCTCTGGCAATTTATTGCCAGACATGGCAAGCTTTTATTTTAACTCGACACAGACTGAGGACCTAATTTCAAAGTTGGTGCAAAAGAGCTCCAGGAAAGTGTTTAATGCTCTCCAGCTGCACCCAAAGGATAAACCTCCCCGTCAAGAAAACCCATACGCCTTCAACCAGCAGCACCAGGTGCCCCACATATCAAAGATTGCCATGACAGGCATATCCACTCTTTCAAGGTTTTAGTGCAAACTGCCCTCAGGGCTCAGACCAGCAGTGATGAGGAGGTATTAAGGACAGCACCGGCAGAAATAGAAGGAAAAAGAAATCTCACATTCAGAACCCCCTTAGTTACACTTTATGAGACATTGCACATCCAGACTGTGTCTCCGGCTGGGGGCCCCTCTGCCTGAGGTAATGTACAGAGATTAAAGGCTGGTGAGTCAAAGGAGACACAGCCCACAACAGACAGCTCCGACAGCACTTTATCAGACTCTTATATGTTAAAGCCTCCACCAGAATAGTAAAAAAAAAACCAAAGCCACCTTTAACATTAGACACTTTTTAGAAAATGTAATTCGCCAGCCACGCACTCACTTTACCCAAGTACTCTCTGTGTGGACAGTTCAGGACCTACAACCTCCAAATGACTCAACTTATCCTCCTCCGCATTTCCTTGGAAATGCCATAAACTGGAAATGAGGAGGCAGTTTAAAAAAAAAAAAGTTTCACCATTTTATTACAGCTTTTTTTAAAATTTTGAGTCACTCTGTCAATATCTGCAATGCACAGTGTTTCAACATGTTGTCAGAGGACTTTGTTAGATTTGTTAGATCAGGTGAGGCAGTAGTTGCACAAGGGTGTGTGAATGTTTTATTCACAGATCCTGCTTTACAAGAAAGCAAGAACTCATTTAAAATTAGATAAAGATACTGGAGCGCTAGACTTTATTATCCTCGGGGAGAAATTCAACCTGGACTCTGTGAAGCTGGACACATGTGGACACTCAACATCTGCAGACAAAAGACAACAATGAGTATAAATAATTAAATGTAATACCAATTAGAAGTATTCACAATAACAACAACAACAACAATACATAACTGCAAATTGCTTTAAAGAATCTAAATGTTAAAAGTGTTTTTTCTTTATCCTGCAGCATAGCTTGTCTAACTTCTAGAGCTGTTTAAAGCTGATACAGAGGAGTTCTTAAACTGATTCGATCTACGCTGAACTCTATATTTTCTACCTGAGAGCAGCATCTCATACGTGGAACATGGGATTGACCACAGAGGATTTTCTTTCCCTGCTAGATGATTCTTGTGAAGGCTCCGCCAAAACTTGTATTAGAGTGTGTTGGCATTTATTTGTCCTCGTCACCAAGAAAATCCACTCACAAAGTTTGTCAGGTGTTACACTGTGTTGTCTTGAGTTGATGTAACAGAAATGAAAGATGCCCTCGACAGATTCTCATGTCAATGCACTAATTGTAGGACTTGAAATAGTGCAATGATTACAGAAAACATCTGCCACGCACCCAAAACTATTAAATTAAGTCCTTGCATGCACATACAGAAACATGCACGCACACGTATGAACCAACAGAGTTCAGAGTGGCACTGAGATGTTGGAGAATATCACCGGTCTCAATCTAAAGAAGACAACACCATTAGTCAAGTATTCGAGTCTTATCATTCCAATCCGTGGCTGGTGATAATAATCAGGCCTTTTAGCACTGACAGGCACAGGCAGGCAGATAACACTTGCACCACAGTCAGTGTTTATATCTCAGGCAGGCTGTAATGATGACTAACCGCCACTAGATGGCACACGGCAGACCATAAACAGAGGCAGCTTTGAAGTGCACCAGAGGAAGGAAGTACTCAGCAGTGAATTGCTTCCTGACTGCTTGTGATGATTCCATTTGATGTTGTGGGAAACACAGAAATATGGGCTGATATTATTTTTTTATTGTGTTTAAAGGAATGTCACAGGATCCCAAGGGACCTCACCTGCTGTTTAAATATGCATTTAGAGCACATCCTGAGGGCCGTGGAGCTACATGTTGCTGATCTGTAATGTCCTTGCCAACCCTCTCTAGTCTTTATCATTTATCTAGTTTGTGTTGTGTGTCTGTCATTTTCTCTTTCTCACCTTTACCCTCACTCCAGCTGGTCGAGACAGACGCCCAGCTGTGCTGGTTCTGCTGGAGGTTTCTCTTTGTTATAGGAGTTGCTCAAAGTGGCTCTGTTTTCTGGATGCCTGGGATCTTTCTGCATGGAGCATGTTCTCCCCATGCAACGTGGATTCTCTCCAGGTTCTCTCCCACAGTCCAAAAACATGTTAAGGTTAATCAGTGATTCTAAATTATCTGTAGGTGTCAATCTGAGTTGATTGTCTGTCTCTAAGTGTAGCCCTGTGATAGACTGGTGACCTTTGCCCGGCTTTGAGTCAGCTGGGATTGGCTCCAGTGACCTCCCTGGTGACCCTAGTGAGGATTAAGTGGTGTATAGATAATGGATGGATGGATTTGCTCAAAGAAAATCTTCAAGTTTCTTGTGTTTTCCTCCATAATATCACATTGCAATGTCTTCCACTTACTGCTGTGAATTGATGACTGAACTGAACTGCTTAATTAAAGGTTCATCTGCTTTTGGATCACAATCACACATGTTGCTAATAAAATAACTCATGTTTATGCACACGCGTGCATCTCAATTCCCTCTTTCTGGAGAAAGTACAAAGGATTTCATTTTATACGAGCAATTATTTTTTGGGGGGGTTTCGCGGGACACGGGGTCATGGGATCTGTGGCCCTTGAAGCAGGGATGGGAAGCTGTATAGAAAAACACGATCCAGGCTCACTGTACGTTTTACTCCCAGTTGTGTGCGTTGCTATGGGAACCGGCTAAATGACAGTCCCCCCTCGCAGAGAGCCAATGGACGGCCGTAGTAAGGTGTCTGGTTACTCCCAGCCAGCCCACGCTAGCTGGGCGCGGGGAGGGGTTTACTCCGCTCCTCCGCAGCGATGGTAACTTGGCTTCGCTGGAAGAGAGAGCTCAACACACTTTTTTTTTGTTAGTGGCCATCAAACGAGACTTCTGAGCATTTTTTCCCCCTCAAAAGCGGAGATTAGTTCTTTTCTTTTTGTTATTGAAGTTCTGCAGCGCCCCCCCCCTGGGACCGAGCTACCTGCAGTGTGTTTGAGTTTTTTTTTTCTTCTATGCTGTGTGGAAAGGTAAACCTGTTGCCTCGCCGACCGCCGTGTACTCAACTGCTATCCAAGATGTTGCTTTGTGGATGGGATGGCTTCCGGTGCCGTCGGTGTGCGCACTCATAGCCCCCCGTCGAAGTGTTTCCCTCTCGAGTGATTTTGTAGCTCTTCTTAGCCGGTAAGTTTCTCACTTGAACTGCTCAAAAAAGTGATGCGAGTCAACTTTTTTTTTTGCGGTGCTGTTGCTAACTTTAGCCGGGAGGGAGGCTCGAATGCCGAAGCTGCTTTTTTTTTTTTTTATCACATAAACGTTGACGCGGTTGTTAGCTAGCTACTAAATGCCCCGTTAGTTGATATATAACTTGTGTGTTTCGACTTTATGTGGTGCTAACGTTACAAACACCCCCCGGTGCTGTCTGACACGGGGGCATCTTTGGTTTTTGACCACACCAGTGACTGTATTTGAAGTTAGGGGAGGAGGGAGGAGACACAAAAATAACACCAAACAAGCGAGATAGCTGCTTTCATCCACCTGCACTGTTAGCAGAATCTGGAGGTTTTTGGGGCAAACGTTTCCTCTCCTGTTCAACCTTAACAAAGCCTTTTAGTGGCGTAATGTGTCACTCCAGGCTGAAGGGGGCAGCTTGTACCCCCTCCCCCTTCATTACCATAGAAAAGTAGTAAAGTTAACCCAAAGTCAAAGGTCAGAATGTGGACTGAAGGAGGAGGTGGTGAGGTTTGTGTGACCCAACAACATCTAAAGTGGCTCTGATGGAGGTGATGTGAGCATCATCATCATCATCATTATCATCATCATAGGAAAAAATGGGGAAAATAGTCAGTGGGTTGGGTTTGTGTGTGTGTGTTGGGAAGAGGAGGAGGAGGAGGGGGGAGGTTGGAGTGAGGTTTTTGCAAAACCATGCTCTGCATGTCACGGTACTCATAGCAACCCTGTGATTAACAGAAACGGAGCGGATGAGGTCGAGACCAAAATGAGAAGTGAGGGCTGTTGGTCCAAGAGCTGGGCTGATAGTCAACAAAATAGTCATGGCTCTCCCCTCGCTGGTTGTGACCCGGGCTGTGCTGGAAAAAACACAACAGAGTGCCATGCTGGTTAGGTAGACGGGCCGAAGTGGAATGTGCCAGGTTCAGGTTCGTTTAGGAGTAACCTGGAAGGGCTCGTCAGCTAATTGCCTAAATTGTAAGTAGGTTACGAACAATGACAACAACTGGGTTTTCCCTTTTTTATTTTAGGTGAGTCACTGCTACCGCACTATTATTCGCACTACTGTTTTCTTCACAGGAAGGTTGAGTAAGACGCAGCTGTGAATACAACCACAATCCCAGTTTTCGCAATAAGGAAGAATATATCAGATATTACCAAGGACTTAAGGATGGGGTTTTAAGCAGTAAGTTCTAGTGTTTTATCAGCTGAGTAGCATACAGTCTGGTTTTGGTTTGCTATATGCATTTTGAAAGATCGTTCCTTACATCATCGGGCATGTTGGCTCAAAATATATCCCGATCAAGGCCTTTCCTTAAATTCAAAACACATTGTGTGTGTTTTGAATTTGAAACGTGTGCTTGCAGGCTGCATAATACAGTAAGATTCTGGGAATAGAGGTTCACTCAGAGTTTGTTGTTGAATTTTCCTGGCATGAATAACTTTAGGAAGATTTTCACCTCAATGTTGGCGCACAGTGCCCCTTCTCACCGGCTTCTGTTCCAGATGTGTTTGCCAGCTGAGACCACAGTTCTGATGTTTGGAGGATATGAACAAATTCCTTCTCATATCTTATATTATGAGTTGTGCTTTTGGAAATAGAAGTGGAATCTGGTGTTTTTGTGGCTGATTGCTTCGAAAGTGCAGCGACTCTGGTTTTCAAAAGACTTAGGATAAAAGTTTTATAGAGACAGATTTGTGTTCCTGGCAAACATAAAGAGATGAGCTTTAAAAGGCACCAGCAGAAGCTGAAATTATGTGACTGTCTTTTGTTTTTTAGCCAAAGTACAGTTTTCAGGGGATTGTTTTCAAATCCATTTCATGGGTTGTAGCTGTGTCACAGACAGGAAGGTGGGAGGAAAGGAAAAGCTTCACCTAAGTGCAGAGTAAAGAACACTATCACGTTTCCAGGATTATTTTCTTTAAAATCCTTGTGACTGTGGCCAAGACTTTCAAACACTTAGCAACAGCAGCGGACTAATCCTTGTTTAGTTTTTTCCTTTCTAGCTATGGTGTGGGAATACATGGGAATACCTGGGAACAAACATGCCCAGTGTTTGAAAAATAAAAAAGAGAATGAGGCGCTGAAGTGGTGAAGGCTGTCTGCCCTCGCTGTTTTGGGCCGCTGCCTTCTAAGCACCCTCAATAATGAGCAGGACCATAGTCCAATGAGAGAGGAGCTGGCCTGCACAGCAGCTTCAGTCCGGATAAAAAACATTCCACTGTAGGTCTCTGTTGAAATAACAAGGGCCGCAAAACAATCAGTCTTCACAGCACCCGCTCTCCCCATTCTCATGGGTAATGAGCAAGATGGGTAGTATCCCACTTGGCCCCAAACTTCACGCCTCCCATTGACTAGAATGGTTAACCTGCATTCCTGCACAAACATTTAGCCCTGTGACATGCTTACTCATTAACTCTCTTCTCCAAACTTGGATTCATAGAAAGGACATTGTTTCACATATTACTTTCAGAAATAAAACCAAACGCTAATGAGGCTGCTGTCCCAGTTCATACCAAAATCTGCGCAAAAACTGGTGCATTGCTTCCTTTTGTAATATCGTCATGGGGAGGTGGGCGGTCGGTTTACCACTTTTTTTTTTTTTCTTCGCTGAAATATGTCCACACAAATTGGATGGATTGCCATGAGACCTTGTACAGACATTTATGGTCACAGAGATTTTTTATGGGAAACCACAAGCAGGCCAGATTTTTCAAGTATTTAGTGAAATATCGCAGCACAAAATTTGGTGCGTACATGTATGATTCTGAGATGATATGTCCAAGTAATTTTGGAAGAAACCTCTAGAGATAAGTTCAAACCCTTTCTTACTGCCTCATTTCCACACACCTTGCTGTGTTTGTATGATTACCAGTTTCTGAAAGTTACAACCTTTTTTTTAAAGACATAATTCACCCAATTCCAGTGTACCAAAGGTGTGGGAAAGGGAGTTCAACAAACTATCTGTTCATCCAACAAGTACTTCTGGTGGAATGCATTGGCACCTGTACGTTCCTGTAATTTTAATTGTGAAATTTAAAGTGTGCTCCAAGCAAAACCGTCACGCACCCACCCTGGTGAATTGCAGTTCAAGTACAGGAACTCCAAGTAATGCAGTCAAATCAGAAGTGACACATGCTGTTCTACCTCTTCTTGTGTCTCCGCCACATCTGTACACCTGCCAAGCAGTGTGGAATAGAAATAATGTCTGCAGCTTTGCGAGTTTGTCTTTCACTGAACAAAGATGGAACATGTGTTTTTAAAAGATCACATTACAAGCTTTTTAAAGATTCTATAAAGTTCTACTTGGCAAATGCGGCAGTGTGTCTTGTTCTTGATTTTGGGGGGGAATGCAGAGGTAGGAATCAGGTGGGAGATGGACTGAGGTGGAGAAAATGGAAAACCACATGTAAAGTGTATGGTTGGGCTATTTGTGTTTTTGAGAATAAACATAGCGTACCAAGAAAAAATATTTTGCAAAGGTCAGTCATGATGATGACTAATGATGAAATGTGGTAGCATGTACTGTGCTACCCATTGGAGACATGACTGGTGTTTGGTTAGAGTTGTATAGGAGTCATGCTTTATTTCCCGGTTGTTGTTGTGTCAAGTTTTGATTTATAAATCCCATCTAAAAGCAGTGATCTGGCAAGTTCATGTGCACTCTGTGCCGTGTCTGATGTGGCTTTTCTCATTTTTGTGGTAAAACGGTAAAAAAAAAAAATAGCCTGCGAAAGTTTATAACATCAGAAAAACAGAAAAAATGTGCATTTTGTATTCACTCAGGGAATCACAGGGGAAATTACATTTTTCCAAAACATAATTTCTTGTTAGACTTTCCCACAACTGCCTGTTAGTGCCATTTTTGTGGCTAAGTATTAAGAAATTTAGTCCCCGCACAGTAAACTTTAAGTCTTTGAGATCTAGATCATTTAAAGGCAGAAGAAGTGGAGGGCCAGTAAAATTCTATCACTAACAGTAGGTTTCCAGCATTTTTATATATAGCTGCATTGTTGTGTATAATTCTACTGTAAAGGTTTGCTCTGAGGGGAGTCAGGCTGGTTTCGTGGATGTTAGATTTGCTGCGATGTCAAGTGTGGTTGGACAGTGATACCACAACAAAACATGAATGTGGGTAATTTTTTTTTTGTCGGGAGACAGAGACCAAAGTAGATAAGACGTGTCCTCTTAAACTCTAACTTTACTAACAATCTTAGCTCGAAATGTTCCAATCAGAGAACACGCAACGCCTCTGTAGTGGGTTTATATTCTTCTCAAAGGAAGTGATATTAAAGTTAAGATGCTGTTGTGGCTTCTCTGTGAAGACTTTGCCTCGTAAACTCTGCTTCTCCCGACTATTTTAACACAAATGAATACAACCACAACACTTCAGTATACTTTCAGCCTCGTATACCACGCTGTCTTTTCTGAATTGTTTGCATTGCTTAAGACATTTGCGTGTCAGCGCGTGCAACATTTTATTGTACACTTGTGTACATTATTAGAGTTCACATTTTTCTATAGTGGTGAAACTGCAACACTCCCACGTCAGATCAATATAGTCTTTCACATTTTTATTTTTGTCTACCATGTGTTTTTAATCATTGGATGTGTAAATGTGTGCTATGTGCTGATAGTTTCTGTTCAGTTTGATGTACTCTGTAAAACTGGAGCGTCCTGTTTTGCTCACATTTGTATCGTGCCATTTCTGGATTGGGTAGATTGGACAGCATTGTCACTGTAGCACAGTTCCTGGAGTTTAGCGGGAAACTAACAGATGATCTCACAAGGCTGACTCTCTGCTGGTTGATGGCATGAAGCACATGCATCCCCTTTTAATTTTAGGCACTAGTTTTATTTCTAGACAATTACAGCAGAGAAAAGATATTAACACTGAAAAAGATCTGTTACATTTCTGACTTCATTTTGAAATTTTAAATCAAATTGTGTTCCCAGCCTATGGGTCCTATGAGTAAACTCAGAAGTTCCCTGTCAGGCATAGCTGGTTCTAGCATTTGTGTAACCTAAATCTGTTAAGCAGTGTAGATGTACTGCTGTGTGGTGTTGGTTCGTTAGCATAAATCCTACACCAGCTATGCATTAGCTGGGCTGTCCACAGGGCGACATAAACTACCTAACTCCTAGGCTTGACCCGGTTCTAGTTTTTACAGCATGTAATCAGGAAACAGAAGTGAGGATTATTACTAATGTGTACAGCGGTAGGCGGCTTTAAGATCACACCAAAAACGGGGGCATTTCGCTGTTCTAGATTAGTGTCCATTTCAGCTGCAAGCTGCTGTCTTAACTCTGAGAGGCTTCGAGAGGCCCGGAGTAATAAACTGCTACTTTGTTGAATGTAACTCAAGTGAAACTGGTTGTGTGTCTGTGTGTGCATCATGTGCTTGTGCGACCTCCTCAGCTGCAGAGTATGATAAGACGGCATTATTTAGAAAATGTGGGAGCTTGCCCAAGGGCAGGAAAGAGGACACAATGTTGATGAACAACTGATAGACTTAAACACATCGATGCTTGAGGTTATTGTAGTAACTGTGTCCTCTTTGCTTTCATCTTCGCCTGTCAGGCTGGCCAGGACAAGTAGAATGTGGATTTCTTACAGGACTAAACTTGTGTTAGGGTTACACATTTCAAGTAAATAAAAGTAGGCAACTTATTCCAATTGTTTAAATTTATAAGTATGCAGTGTATTGCTTTGATTAAAACGGTAAGTATAATTTACAGATGCTATGTGTTTTGTGGACAGATTTGACCTTGTGTTAAAGGTTCCAATCATATATTATAACAGGTTATGATTCAGTCTTATTTCTGTGTAGTTCGATGTGTGTGTGGGCAAATCAGATTTCACATGGTCCTTCTTCTCTCCTCATGCAGGGAAGATGCATGTGTCTCTGGCAGAAGCCTTGGAGGTTCGAGGAGGTCCTCTCCAGGAGGAGGAGGTCTGGGCAGTGCTCAGTCAGAGTGCAGAGAGCCTCCAGGAACTTTTCCACAAAGGTAGGAACATGTGGAATCCATGTTTCCTAGAAATGGTTGTAAATGCACACAGATACAATTCAGACTTTTCTTATTCCTGTTTCAAGCCTTCGTCTCTCACTGTTATTTTGTTTTTAAAGCTAAATTAGAAGTTGATTGAAATTGATGGGAACACTCACTGTGCTTTTCTGTAATCATTTGTTAAACTCTTTGCTTGCAGAAGTGGATTGATAACCCAAATTGATTCATCCCAGTAAGGCAGAAAGGGGCAATGTAAATCAAACAGACAACTGAAAACAATTTCACAGGCTAATTATTGCCTGTTGATTCCTAGGATCTGTCACACTCAAGACTCTTTGTTAAAGCGTTGTATATACATTTTATTTTGGCATCAGCATTGTTGACTTTGCAGTTTTGTGTCTTGTGTTTTAATCGTTTTGGGACTCATTTGTGCCTGTAAATGTCTCAGTCACTGAAGGCATAAAGACATAAGGTTGTCTGATTCCAGAGAGTTTTTGTATCTTAAGAAAACTTAAAACAACAAGTGAGTCAGGTAGTTTTAGTTTTGGACAGGCTGTGAGTCATCCGGCATCGCAGTACCCTCCGTGTTGTTGAAAAGTTTGGGTGGTGCCTAGTTTCGTACAAAACTGCAGTCGGTGCACCTGATTACACAGGCCATAACTGTGTCATCTAAACTGTTGACCATTGCCTGTGTGAGTTCCCATGAAGCAGTAACTCAGATCTGTCAGTGCGTGTTTCTACGTAAACCAGCTTGACTTCAGTGTCTGGTTTTGCTGACTTGTATGTTTGCAGATAATCCTGGCTTGCTTTAGGAATTCTCTCTTATCAGTGTGGCCTGTGAATTTTCCCTTCATGCCGAGGTCACATTTGCGACAAGTGGAGTATACACAGTTACAGTATTTTAGCAGTCAAAGCTTTGTGAGATCAAGTTGTGGAATTGCTGAGTATTTTTGATTATTTTAGTCTTTACATGGACATTGTGCTGCAGTGATTTCGATCGTTAACACACCCTTCTTTTTCCCTTTTCCAATGTGTAGTTGTGTAGCTATACTGAGCAAATTGTGGCCTCTCATGTGTACAGTTTTAAACTTCTGCTACATGAAGCTAAAATTTGAATAGCAGATGTTGGACCCAGCTATTATATAGTCACTGAGCTATGTAAAGAAGTCGTTTTTACCACAAGAGTGGATTAATAACAGCAACCATCCAAACTTCTCAACTTGTCAGACAATCTGCTAGAGTTCCTGGTTAGCACAGTGGATGGGGGGAGTTGTTACGGGTTTATCCTTAAACAGAATACATAGAAGAAAAACAGCAACGTCTTTGTTTTGCTGAGCAGATGAAATGTTTGTTTCATACTTTTGGATTTTTTTGTTGTAGTGGGAGGATTACAGACATTGTAAATGTCCTCAAACACCAGCACTGTTTTTTTGTTGTTGTGTGCAAACAGTAGTGGTTACTATGTTTGTTTAAGAGTGATTTGTTTAAATAAGTAATGCATCAGTATTTGTGATTTGTTAGAGGAAGTCCTCTCCATGATCTTCAAGATTATGCTGGTTTTTCTTCCTGCACATTCCCTTCTCTGTTTAGCATTTCTCTGTTGGCTTTGGTGTTTACTCCTTAATCCCTTTGTAGCTCTATTGCCCTATTTGCTGAGGAATTTAATGCATAGTGCACAGTACAGGTTGTATACATCGACTTGTATAGGAGAGGCTGTTGGTAGTAGTGCTGAATTATTCCCTGCCCCTAATAGCTCAGATAGCAGCTTATCAGCCTGACAGACTACATTTTTGTGGGATAAAGAACTTACAGTTGTACAATTTGCTGTCCTTTGAAAATACTAGGGAATCAAATGGTGCATGCCCTAATCATGTTTAGATTTCTTTTTGTATTTACTATTCCTCTGGTAAGGTTTCTGCTTTGATCTGCAGACTGTTGAAAATGTTAATTAATTAATCCATCAAGACATAAATTTGCTCAGGCTGAGTCATGGACTTCTGCTGAGCTCTGCGGCTGCCTTTCCAGAGCAAAAGCTTTGTGTGGAATACACCTAGTAACCCAGTCTACGTTTGAGTAAGATCTCCAAATGGTCACATGAGTTTTAAACAGGAAACTTATATTTACTTAGTAAATTCCAGCTTTTGAAAGCAGATATTTGGTGCCTCAAATCGAGTTCCTCTGTCCGTCTCTCTGCTCCTCTCAGAGTCAAGTATCAGTCAAAGAAAAGAATTTTGCAGCGCTGCTCAAACATTCCTTTGTATATTTTTAAAACGTTCTCTAACCATAGCATTGGCTGTGGCTTTGTAGGAAAAGAGAATTACGCTGTGTAGCCATTCCTTTCTGCTTCCATGCCTCAACAGTTATTTTCTTGCAGGCTAAGAAAGCAACATGTGTTTTTGTTTACTTCAATCATCTTGAATTTCCATAAATGCCAAAGCCTTAGCGAGAAACATCCACTGTGGCGGGATATGTCTGCAGTTGCTGTATTCAGACTGTAAATGCTTAGATCAAATGTGATGCCAGCATTGAGCTTTAAAACACAGCGTTTCATTTTTTTGTGTTTACGTGGCAGTGACTAATAATTTAAGTGAAGGAAATCCGGTATATTGTATTTGTTTTGTTTATGTTCCTGATCGTATCTCTAAATGTCGATTTGTTTGTTTCCGTCTTCAGACCCTTCAGCCATGGGCTTCATTATCTCTCCCTGGTCCCTCCTCCTCATGCCCTCTGGGAACATCTCGTTCACAGACGAGTATGTCACCCAGCAGGACTTAAGAGCCTTCACAGCTCCAGAGGTCCTGGATGGGGCCTCCTTGACATCCATTTCTGACATAGAGAAGGTATAAACCATTATAATACCCCATATGATGACAGAACTGTACAGATTGTTTAGTCTAGGTGTGTGTTTTATCACATTTTGCTCATTCTTGTGTTAATGCAGTCTGGCACCTAAAGTGCATAACATAATAAATAGGTTTAGTGAAATTCTTTCCTTATAAACATTTGCACCTGCATTCTTTATATCCGTGTTTGCTAGCTTACAGTGTTTGCCTGTTCTGCCTTTTCAGTGGAACAGGGTGAAACCAATTGCAGGAATGTGTGTTGTCACCTGTGTGTGCATGTAGGTGATAAAAACAAAACAAGAACCCACCCAGAAATCATTGCCCTGTACCTCTGCTTGTGCCGCTTGGGTTATTTGGGTTTTAAAAACTGCTAAATTGTACAGCTTGTAATAGGTAAAAACCACTGCATGTCGACTTTTCTCTTTGTTTCGTTGATGCCAGTCAGTGTTTTCCCTGGCACCGGCAGATTCAAGGGTGCGGCGAATGACATGTAAAATTGCACATAAACAAATGATGAATAGCTCCTTTTGTTGCTAAGTTTTCCCACTGCTGGCATATTGTATTTTGACTGTTTTTGTCTTTCACTGGAAAACTGCTCACTTTTTTAAATGCTTTTCACATCTAGTAAAATGAGTCATAATCTGTTTTAAATGATTATGTGTCGACTGATGGGTGGAGAAATCACTCTCGGGGCAATCAGGTAGATGAGGACATTCAAAACTGAACGTCTGAGCTACCATATTATCTCTTGCAATGCAGAGAACCACCACACCCCCTCATTTTGACTCTGCGCCTCTGGTAGAAGAGCTAAAAGCTTGCATGACTGGATTCCCGTCTCTGGCACAGCCCCACAGACCTCAACACTGTTTTGTGCTGAGTCAGTTTTCCAGCCCTGGGCCCGTCTCCCTAGCTGAGTTATTTCAGTGTAGAAAATATAATCTGTTTCCTTCATTATCAGACTGCGGGTAAATATACGTCAGCTGCAAGTGCCACGTTTTTTCCTTTGACTTTTTAACATATGGAATTGTATTGTTGCTTTTAATTGGTCAGCTTTTAAGTTTCCACATTTTCAGAAAGTGTTAGTGTGCCTTTAAATTTGTACTGTGAGATCTGTTCCTAAAAGACCTTGAAGGCTATGTTGCATTCTTTGGCAATCCCTGAATTATTCTTTCCTCTACCAAGCCCAACATTCAGGGGAAGTAATTTCTCTCCCAAGCAATGAGTGGAGAGTAATAAGGAGAGGAAAATGGAAAAATGTTTTTGGATTTAGGCTGAAAGTCCCCGTCTTTTCCTGTTTTTAGAAAAAAGGAAAAAAGAAAAGAATTCAACTTTCATTACACTTCAGCATTTCTCTTTCTTTCACACACAGCAGTTTGACATATTTTTTAAGGTTTACTCCCAAATTTTTCTGAATGAAACGAAACTTTTACATTTCTCATTACACTGTCAGTTTCTCTTATCTTGTTTGGTTAGACCAGAGAAGTATAATGTGTCTTATCTTGGCCTAAGATGTGTTCTTTCTCACAGATGCACATGTACTCTTTGGGGATGACGTTATTCTGGGGAGCGGACTACGAGATCCCCCAAAGTCAGGTAAATCATTGCTACAAATACAGGTGGAAAGGGGTGAAAATATGGAGCTGTATTTACATTCGGTAATACAGACTCATGTTAAAAGTGTGTTGATTATTTTCACAAAACCTAAAAACTTTGCCTTTATTTTTCTAAAAACCAACACTTTTGGCAGGTCAAACAGCGCCCAACAAACTGGACAGTCGCTACAAAACAAGATGCAGACTTACGGATGTTTAAATCAATTGAAAGTACATGAAGTAAAGCCTTCTTCCAATCTAGTGCTTATGTGATTTGACTAAAGATATGGCATAATCTGTTGAACTAGAACACTTGGCAAGCACATTAAAAGTAGCCACACCCAAAGGGATTGTTTGTCGGGATTTAACAGTATCTGTGTTCAATTTTTTGGCATTACTCAGAACTTGAGGTAACAAAAACCTAGCCAGCCATATGGGTACAGTGAGGCTAAGTAGCATAAAGTAGTGTGTGGCAAAACAATTTTTAAATATTGGCACTGTCAAGTACATAACAGGCATGCCAACTTCAAACCCAAAGGCCTTATAATAACCTCGTATTAATCAGTTATTGTATTTCTAGTGAATGTACCATTTTCAAATTAGGTCTGTATCTGAGTGCTTCATCTGGTTTAGTGCACTCTGGAATGTGTTTGAACGTGGAGATGGTCTGGTTCACACTGCACTCATATCCTGACAAAAGTCAGTCAGCTGTAAAACACAAGCTGCACTGTGTTTTAACATTTGTGAGAAAGCACTGCCCCCCCAGTTTCGAGGCATCATGACTCACTCAACTTTGTCATCCACTGTGCCTCACTGGAGGGGTCAAGCTTCATCTATTCTCGTCAGCGATGCCCTTTTCCCTCATCTATAAAGGAGCTGCTTTGGTCATGCTCATGGCTATGGCAAATACAATATGTCATTGTTTCTGAGAAAATCAAATAAAGTGTCATAGAAGACATGAGGTGGACATCCTCTGCACCAACAGCTTTTTTTACAAAATGTGAACTAAAATGAAATTGACGGGAAGAGAACAGATGGCCGTAATTTTATAGCTTGTAGGTTTGAACACTTTCCACAGCTCTTTACAAATTTAAACAATGAGGCATAGTAAAAATTTACAAAGTCAAATTGGAAGATGAAGAAGACTGCAGAAACTATATGATGAAGTGCTGGTGATACTAATTGAAACAACAAAATTTTGAGTATTGTTTTCGAGTACAGCTCTGGGAGGCTTTGCTTATGAACAGCAGATGTAAATGCTAACATCAGCTTGGCAGTAGGCTAATAGTAACAGTGTGGTTACTGTGGTTTAACAGTTTTCAGATTTTATTTTGGTCTGTTATGTTGTTAAAATTTGCTAAGTGGTAGTAAAAATACAGTACAGCTGAGGATGGGAATGTCATCTGTTTGGCAGGTGAGAAGACTTCATTTTATGAAAGTTAAGAAATCACTAAAGTTGTTGTTGCTCAGGATGTTCAGGGTTTTTTTTCGGTTGTAACTATTACATTTCTACTACCAATTCCTAATGAAATACAAAATTTTAAAATGCGCTCCTTTGACTCTGATGCAGCTGCCTTTCTCTATCAGTAGTTACTCATTTTCATTTTCTAAGCAAAAGTGCATCATTTCCAAATATTCTAATAATCTGTATCAGTGTCAGCCCTGAAAAAACAAAACTTGAATGTCTGTACCATATTTCATGGAAATCCCATCCAGGAATTGTTGAAACATTTATCAACTTCATGTTGGCGCAGGAGGAAAAGTCAAGGAAAAATCGTTAGTATTCATCCTTTGGGGGCGTAGAGTGTTGTTTCAATCCATCCAGCAGTTGTTGAGATATTTCCAAATAACCAAAACAGAACCAAAGTAATGGACATTTTGCCATCGCTAGAGCCGTGCTGGTAGCATAGCTTAAAAAAAAATCACTGCACTTGTAGGGAATGAACAGTTGTCATGTTCTTGTTTTTATATTTGTATGTCCTATTAAACAAATCAAAGTATTTGGCGACACCATGAGTGAAAAATTGAGAGTTTTCACTTTGACCTTTTTAATCTAAAAGTGAGAAGTTATTTAAAGTAGGTGATGAGTTTGTCCCTTGCTGCCACAGCAGACTCAGTGTGAGTCAGTATGTTCATACAGATAGCATATCCAAAGATACCAGAGAGGCTTGTAACATGACCGGACTAGCTGCTGTTGTCACTGTTTATGTATGAATTGTCTTCATTCTGATTCCTTTGCAGCCTATGAAACTGGGGGAACACCTAAACAGTCTACTCCTCAACATGTGTGATGATGTTACATTGAGTCGAATGTCGTTGCGCACGGTGCTGGACATCTGCAGCAAACACATCAGAAACTCCAGTTGTGACCCTCCCTTCTCCTATATCAGAAAACTGGTCCGGTTGGTACTGGGCAGCCTTTCCCAGGTATACAGTGTAATCATGTAATTCAAGAACAACATTTCTGCCACTTTTGCACATTTTTGTTCTATGTACATGTCAGTACGCCCTCACTGCAAGCCTTTCCCAGCTAACTGTAAATTAAAAGACAATTACATGCTCTGTCAAAGCACAGTAGGTTTGTTGAATTGCTCAACAGATAATGGAGCTCCTGCTGGTAGATTATAATTTTGTCTCAGAAAGAATTCGTTTCTAAGTTTCTTTTTTTTTTCGTCTTCCTTGCTCCTCTTTTCGCAATTTTTGTCTCAGCTGGATGGTCTGCTGACTGATAGGGAGTCGCTTCCAGAGCGCAGTAAGGAGATTCGGGAGAGGCTGAGGGGAAAAGGCTTGCCCGCAGGTAAGATGAGCTGCACTGATATGCGCTGAACTGACATGCAGGAACTTCTCAGTGGTGTAGAAAGAAATTTCCGCAGCGATTCAGATTTATTGGATGTCAAAGGATCATGAGAAAGGAGTCTGCTTGTTGTTAAATTTTGAAATGGGGAGGGGGAGGGAATGTGACGATTACTGTTGTTGTTTCCCTGTGATCTTAATACGAGTGACACAACATTAGGCTCTCTTACCAGATTGTAGATGAGTGGTAATTCTGAGAATTCTGCCGAGTACATGGAGAAACCAAAACATTATGACCACCAACAGATGAAGTGAATGCCGCTGATTATCTTGTAATGGCATGTCCCCATCTGGAATATATTAGATGGTAAGTTAACAGTTGATTCTCACAGTCATTGCGCTGAATGTGGGAGAAATGAGCAGGTGTAAAGACCAGAGCTGGCAACTTGAAGTTGGGTGTTGTGCTGGAACATGTCTGATCCACAGTGGCTCCACCTCACAACTTACAAGTAACTACTGCTAATGTCTTGGTGCCAGAGACCACAGGACACCTTCAGAGGTCCTGCAAAGTCCATGTCTCAGTGGGTTGGAACTGTTTTGGTCCCTCACAATGGCCCAACAGCATATTTGGCAGAAGCCCTTATAATGTTTTGGCTGTTCTGTTCTTCCCTTCTGATAGCAAACGAAGGCTTTGAGTGCTAACAGTGCGTATGGGTGGATGTATTTTTTTTATACATTCCAAATTTGTGTTACTTCCATGTAGAGAGAATCAGATGTAAGCGCCTTTCCTGGCTGTCAAGCCATTCATCACTTACATCCTCACTTTCTGAGTTTGTGGGAAAAAAGCAAAAGTAGACAAGGAACAACACACTACAACCCCGAACTAGATTTAATTCAGGAAAATATGACCAAATCTTCCCAGTGGTTTCTGAGAGAACTCCGGCATTTTTCCAGGCCATGGAAAGGAGAGCAGAGCACAAACGTGGCTGTCGTCCCGATTATGTAAGCACGGCATGGCATTGATTACAGATGCATTTTTTGGAGTCACCAGTGAAGCTGCTGGTCTGCTGTTTGTATCAGTGCTTTGTTTCCCTGGTTGAGCACCAGCCAGCCCTAGGGAAAGTACATGCAAAGAGTATTACTCAGTTCTTAAGCGCCTTTCTTCTCAAGGAGCAGCTCTCTCCCTCCTGTGTTGCAGTGGTTCCAAGTTGTAACTGCTGCTCAGGGAACTCAGATATTGTCTTTTTATTTGTTTTGGACACTGTATGTAACTATTACTTTAATACTGATTGCCAAATGACAGCAACACTATGGTCACATTAGCGGGAAATACGTCTCAACAAAGGACTTCTTTGAAAAATAGACGCGTTAGTCCTGTGATTGATTGACTGTCCCGGGTGTGCCCCACCTCTCTGCCAGTGTCAGCAGGGATAGGATCCAGCCCCTTATATAGCTGATGGATAGATGAAAAATAGAAAACATCCTGCTTGAAAAATGTTCCCTTTTTTTTTTTCAGTTTTCACTTACTCTAGTTCTTGTGTGCCTCCCTGAGTTCCAGGAAGACACTCTGACTGTCTTTGATGTGTTTCCCAAGCATATGCTTTCTAGATTAAACCGACACATGCAGCGTTTTTACAGGACTAACGTCTCCCTCTGCTCTATCGTTTCTGCATTTCTTCCTCTTGTTTTTGCTCTTGTTCATGCACATGTTTGCCTTCTGTTCATCTCGTACTCTCTACAACAAGGCCCGCTGAAAATCGCTGGCAGAGACTTTGTGCGACATGTCTGTAAAGGCAAACTTTAAATTTATGGACAGTCAAATAAAGCAATGTTTATTGTTTCGTTTATAGAATGACACAATCATAGACTGACTGGATGCACGTAGAAGAAATTGTTATGTTTTTCTTTTTACATATAAGGGGGAACATTTCCTACTGAACAAAACTGAATATCTGCAATAACAGTAGAGTAGCATTTTGCTGATGTTAGTTTACTTTAATTTTTTTTTTTTTTTTTAAATTTCCAAGCCTGGTTTGTAAAACAGAAATGTCTTCCTCCGGCTGCTGCTAATTTTATTTGCCATCTAATTTGTAGAATAACCGTGGAAAATTTAGTTTGGGCCTGACTAAAAGAGTTAAATGAATCTGTAAATTTAAGCTGAATGTAAAAGGGAAGGAAACAAGTTTATTCTGACACATTCTCTAAACAGACCATTACAGGATGAAGGATGCATTCATGAACATGCACTCATGCAGACTGTTGAATATTAAATAAGCAGCTATTCAGTTGTTACTGCGGCATCTGTGAACATACTGTATGCTTACCCAATTATTAATTTACTTAAGCTGATTGTCGGCATCGAGTCCTTCAGTAGAGAGACCAGGAGTGGCCACTTGCAGGTGCTCAGTCAGTTGACGCCAAGCCAAGCCAAAGCAGGGAAGGTCTACAGCTGACTGTGCCGTGTCTGGTGGCCATGTCATGCTGATGCTGTTTGGATGGATGCCAGCTTGGAGAGACATTTGCGCATAATGAAGCCTACTGTATTCATTCAAATCAAAATTCCTGTTAATCCCTATTCATCATAAATAATACTGTCTGTTTCAAGTTTAAAGTTAATAATGAAACTACTGGGAATAAAGTGTGTGTTTTACATTCCTTTTGATTACCTTCTAAATAAAACTTTACTAGCGTTCAAGATTTTTTTTTAAAAGTTATTGTTTGTTTTAAGACTTCAGGAAGCATGTGCATCTGCTCATGGTTTAATTAAGTTTCGATTCTCTCCTGTTCTCAGGGAGGAGTGCCGCCCCCAGGGTTCTGGAGCGCTACAGAGCCAGGACTCAGGAACAAACGTCTCTGAATCGGGGCCTCAGTCGTTCCATGGGCTCACTGCCAATCCAGGACCTTGTGAAGGGGGATGAGGGGGCAACCCTTCAGTATCCCCCAACTGATTACCACGCCAACTCTGAATCCCCCACAGAACTTTACCCCAAACCCCCCTCACTCCAGCACCAGAGGTCCTATCCCTATCTGCACCCCTTTCACCCGCAGCAAAAGGGCCGGCCTGTTGAACTGGACCGAAGGTCTTTACACTTCTTCAGTGGAGAACTGGGGCCTAGTCAGGTCAGGAAGAACTGGGCTTCCTCTGTGGATTTGGCTTGCATTGATCCAGAGGCCCTTCGTTTTGGGGCTTTGGAAGATGCACGGAGAGGCAGCAGTGCTCTGAGTACCCACTCCATAGGCAGGCGCAAATCACCCTTACGGGCATCCAGGGATTCTCACTACCCTGAGTTTGGCGGACTGAAGAGTAGGAAGCCTCATTACCACTCGGCCCTGACTGTAGGCTCGGGCTTCACTGGTGCCTATGACAGGATCAAGGAAAGACAGAGGAAACTTCAGGTGCTAAGACAAGCAGTGGATGGTGAGTATGCTGTCTGAATCGAAGACTACATTATAGTGGAATAGTTGCTCTTTGTCCTGAGACTCAGACAAATGAGATAAATGTGCCGTTCAGTTTTATTGTGAGCTTTTAGAGGAGCCTTGAAGGTGTTTCATGTTTGGCCATAAGCATGAAAATCAAAGTGGTTTTCAGTCTTGCTCGTTTATGGCTTCACTCGTCTATATATTGTGGATGATCTTCACTTTTAATACGACAATCTGTTTGGGTCTTTGGCACTGATCAGATACAAACAGCACAACTAGCATGGTGTAATGCTGCTCACCCCACTTGACTCTGAAAATCTACAAACCACACACAGGCTGTTCTGCTTCGTTGAAATTGGGATTTTTGATCTCCACCCTTTTGTTTTTCCCCTTTGCAACACATTACACACAACAGTCACCTAGTGTTTAGTAGTGAACCATAATGGGATTCTGGTGTCACATCTGAGTTCGTCCGTGTTATTATTTTTGCAATGTTAGCAGTTTGTCAGAACATGTACAATGTGGGCTTCAATATGTAAACATTTCCTTACAACAAGCTGAAAATCCCTCTGAAGCGTTTGACTTTAGTCTGTGACTGAGACAGTGAAGGAAATTTTCAGTAAAGCATGCTGTTTTTAGCACTCAGCTGTGTCATAAAGATGTAAAGGAAATGTCAAAGTGGGTGGTGCAATGAATTTATCAGGCAATAAAAGCGGGTGCAACAGGGAGCCATCAGCTGATGTGATCTGAGAGGAGGTGAAAATGTGGCAGTAATGGGATGATGTGAGCAACCAGACACTCGGACTAGTTACAAGTTGTGTGTCTGTCTGTCTGTCTGTCTGTAACTACCATGTGGGATGGCAGCTTGGTGCTGGCCTGAATGAAGTATCATTGGTGGTGGCTGGGCAGCAGTGTTTAGACAGAATGTATGAGTCACTGGTACAGAGATTTCCAAATGGCTGATTCTAATTACAGACCAGTTTAATTCTAGCCTGCTGCTAACTGTCACACATGCTATATACAAACTCTCCTTTTTTTTATTACATATGGCCGTAAACATGCAGATATAAGCACATATGCTGCAAAATGGTTAATAATGTAAAGGGCTTGGATTTTTACTAAGGGAATAAACAATCTCTGTGTAATCACATGTTTGGACCAAGCACACACAACACAATTGTTTAACACCTCGGTAGTCAGCCCCAAGAGCTTTAAGTTTCCCTTATGAGCTTATTGAATTCTTAGTAAAGTCTCTATAGGAAAGCTAGTTTTATACAATGAGTCACATGTGGCTATACGGGTCTGCTGGCCACCTGAGGACAGTGGAGGAGCATGAGGCTTGAATGGTTTCATATAATAAACCACTGTCTTCTACCTCTTGTTCCCTGTCCTCCTCTTACTGTTCTTCCTCACTCCCCACTCTCCAGCTCCTTCCAGCCTCCCTGCTTTTCTGGCAGCTATTTTTAATGCTGACCGAGCCACCAACCAAGCATTCTTTTCCTCGACTGTGGCTTTTCATCCCCAGCAAGCCCTGCCGTCCTTTCCTTCTTTTTCCTTTTTCCTTTTTATTGGGGGGGGGGGGCATTTGGTTTTTGGATTTCACACAATAGCAGCAAAGTGTAAGAACAAGAGCATTTAGAATGGTGGTTACTCTGTTTATTGTCGCGGTGTGTGTATGTACAGTTGTATGCAAATGTTTGAGCAAAATGACGTTTAAACTTCACTTTTCTTCAAATGTTAATGCGCTTTTCTTTTTACTTCATGAACAGAAACATTTTAAAGTAATTGTGGCACGTGCAAGAGTTTGGGCATCTCTCTAATTGCAAGAGCTGCAGAACTTTATGAACTCATTTTCATTAGGATTTTTCATCCAGTTCAAATATTCTAACTCTTCAGACCTTGCGGTAACACCCAACAACCATGGGCTCCTCAAAACAACTGACTGAGGATGTGAAGAAGCAGCTAATTGATGCCTACAAAGCAAAGCAAGACTATAAAAAGATATCAAAGTGTTTCCAGCTTGCAATTTCCACTGTACAAAACGTCATTAAGAAATGGCAGTTAAGGGAAATTGCGGAAGTCAAGACAGGATCTGAAAAAACTTTCATATAAAATCGCATATTTGCTAGGAATAAAATGAAAACATGCCTGCGAAGATTCAGCTGTGCACTATGGATTTTACCATTTGAGATTCACAGTTTGAGTTTACATGGAAGAGCCACCAAAAGGAAACCAGTAATAGGGTCTGCACTTTATAGCTTTTAAAGTGCTCCTGCGTCTTTACAAGTGTATGAAAAGAACACCTTGCCATCTGTTAAGTAAGGGGGTGGAAGTATTCTGCTCTGGGTTGCGGTGGCCAGTGGGAGCAGAAACCTTGCACAGATAGAACAGATTTCTTTAAATATTAGCAAATTAAGGAAATGTTATACAGTCAGTCAAGGCAGCATAAATTGGTAAAACTACTGATTCAACAGTTTAACCCTCCAAGCCCAAACATTTCTAGGCTTTTTTTGTTTTTTTTGCTCCAATCACATTTTTCCTCACCGTGGGCTCATTTTTCACAGCAGTATATAGTTCTGCACCTGTATGGAAATGTTAAAAGAAAAGTAGAATAAAAGAAAGCTGTATTTCTTTGCTGAATTATTTTACAAAAAGAAAAAAAATCTAGAATCAGCATGTACAACATTTGCTCTCATGTGCCCTCATGTGTTACTAATAACAAAATAATGACGACATATATATTTAACTAGTTCCTTTTTTAATATTTGGCCATATTCTCCATCTACTCTGTTTAAGCACAGCCTGCAGTTCAGTCCAGAGTTCAAATGAAAAGTCCCTGCGTCTCTATAATGTCATATGACTGTTGGTTGCAGGTCAATCACTAATGGCCTCCTGATTGAGCCAAGATGTGTACAGTCTTCTTTTTTTTTTTTTTTTAACCGAATCAGTTTAATAGAAAACTGAAATTTGGCAAATTTTCAAATGACATATATATCACAATTTTCTGAATCTGAGAAGACTTTCTGTTTTTCAGAGTTTCTGTCTAAGATAAACAGAGTAATTTGGGGGATTAATTTTATTTTTTTTATTGGAGACATCGTGCCCTTTAAACCTTCCAGTAGGTTTGGAGGTGTAGAGAGGTAAACCCTGGTCAGACACAACCTTTGCAATTTACATAGTTTCAAAATACACTTTCGTTTTCAAAGTGATTATTGTTGCTGATGAAATCGATTAATTGCTGCTTTTGGAATGACCCTCACAGTGCCCTGAATCAAACATTTTTTTAAAAATCTATGTGTAGATCTTAAAAAACTGCTTTGCTTGCTAGGCAGCCTAAAAATATCTCATGACTTATGGTCTCTGCCAAGGTGGGGTGGGGTTGCTAAGCACTGACTTCGTATGGTGCACAAACTTTTGCACAACACTTACTATTTAATTAGGTTCATGAAAGTAAAAGTAACAGTGCTGTAATGTTTGGTGACTTCTTTTTCTATTACGTGTGCTTTGGTTGTGATCATGTCATTGCGCTTTAAAATCAACAAAATCTATAATTTACCCAGAGGTTCCTAAACGTTTTCTCCATGTGTGTTCATGCTTGTACACGTACAGAAAAAACTTGAGAGGAGTATCTTTGTGTATTTTTTGTGTGAATAGCTTTTAATTAATATTAAATGATGACTGATGTGGGACCGCATGCTGACGCACAGGATTGTTTACTACCACTAAAATTGACTGAGGGTGACTATGAAGACTGAGCCAAAATATTTCTGTCTTCCATCCCAGAGCTATTTTGCTATAGTATGATTGGGGCCTAATTAAGCACAACCCCTTTCCAGGGCGTTGTGGATGTGTTACTTGGCAGAGACCTTCTTTTCTTTCTTTTTTTTCTCTTACTTCTTTCTGTTCTTTTCTGCAGGAAAGTGATGGCACAGCAGTGGTCAGTGGTCTCAGGTTTCACAGAGTTAACACACCGCTTCTCTGCCTTCTGTGTGTGTGTGTGTGTGTGTGTGTGTGTGTGTGTGTGTGTGTGTGTGTGCATTTGCAAATCATTTTTTATTGGAATATGTATTACAACACTAAACACTGTTGGTGTGCATGCCTGTGTGTGCATGGGCATGTTTGTACCTGGTTCCCTCCATCTCATCCAGTGCCTAGGCAGCTCCCCCCCCTCACCCCTCCCCCGTATAGGTGCCAAGGTGCTTTAACTTCAATGAGTAGAAACTTTCCTCGCAGACCTAGAGGCTGTAATTGGAGTCATGCGTAGCGGATGAGGGAATTCCTAACATTATTGGACTTTTCCGGCACTTGGCAGCGGGTCATGTGGCTTTGGGCCGGGGCAGGTCCAGCTTGGACGGCAGTACAGAACACTGCTGCTCCAGGGGGAGGGGAGGTGTTTCCAAAAGCACACCCTCCCCAAATTTTCATAATTATATTACAGTTTGGTTTGTTGACTCCGAAGGCTGCATGAGGATTAGAGTATTTCGAGGGTTTTTAGGAAAAACTTTTGACGATTAGGTTTATTTCTGATCTAATTAACTGCCTGACTCATTTTCTCCTCACTTTAAGAATAACGCCTAAAAGAAGCACCGTAAGGGTTCACAAACAATGTGGACATTTTGTAAATAGAGGTTTTAACCTTAGATTTTTTTACTACCCCATTTGCACCTAAAATTCCACTTTTACAAAATCTGCACTGTTCTGTTTTTCTTCTGACTCATGTTAACTCAGGGGGGAACTTAAGGGTTTCTGTAAGCTATTATCCAGCTTTAAAGGGAGTTTCTCCTTTCTCCGTGGGACCACCAGGCTTTAAATAACCCCAGAACCTGAGTTTGTGTCTCTTCTCAGCTTGAATATCCCAAAAGGCCGTAGCCCACAGAAGCTGTTTGTGTACTTACACAAAGCTCATGCAGAAGTGTCAGTTCGGCAAGAAAGCAAGGAGAAGGGAAAAACAAATAATTCATGTGAGGTCAAATGAGAAGACAAGGCAAGGCGAGGTAAATGCAGACTGTGGTTATTTTTCCCCGAAGTGATGTTGTTTGCATTAAAATGTGGACAGATTGCTTCTCTAGCAACTGTGCGTGACTCCATGAGAAAAACTGTTGTCCAAAAATCACATAACTATTTGATTTTCCTCTATCATTTTCATCTTTAAAAAGAGGATGGGCTTCCGAAAATTCAGCCAGTTTATTGTATTTGTGGTTAGTCTTGTCATATTTTACATTTCCTTGGAAACAATAACAGTCAGTGGAGAGTTGCACTAAGAAGGAGCTATGCAGTGACCAAACAGGTCACCTTCATGTCTAAATGAGCGCTCAGGAAATCATGATGGCTGCCTTAATATGTCGAACCTTATAACGTTTCTGTATTCCTTTTAACATGAGTCTGAACTTATTGTTGACACATTAATGCGTCAGTACTCACAATAAACAGTACGTAAGATCATAGATTATTGCGACATGGAGACAGAACTGATCAGGATCTAATGGTGAAAGATATTCTGTACTTGTCTTCACCTCAGACAGGTGAGCTGTCAAACACAGAGACAGAGTTTATAAGCTCCGTTTAAATTAGGTGTTAAATAGTGGTTGTCTTCAGGGTAAATCCAGAGCATTGACAGAATTGCCTGTGTTTAGGAAATCATAAATAAATTATAGTTATTTGGACACTTTGATAGGCTCCCTAACAGTTTAGACTCATCCTTTTGTTTATTAGTGCATTTATAAGCATTATAGACCACATGACGTACCGTCCAATCTCACCCATGTGACAGATATCACGTGTTTACTGTGGCTCTCTCCGTCATTGTGCTGAGTGTGTCCGAATTAGGCCAAGAGTACCACTACTGTAGAAGTGACCTTTGTCTGAATGACAGAATAGTGTCACTTTAATAGACTGATGAGGCAGCAATGTTTCGTATCCCGTATCTGCCTTCTACTCAACACTTATCCTCTCTTGCGGACTTTGAGACAAGATGTCAGTACTGATCCCTATTATCAGTAATCAAGAAGATCCAGAACCAATATTTAGAACCCTACATACATTTACAGCAATAATAAATACCCTGTTGTGAAAATTTTGAATAACACAAAGTCCAACACAAAGCTTATTTTAAAATGCCTTTGTTAGTGTTTTGAATATGACACCTTAAAAGACAGCTTCTCAGTGTGTAAGCTGCAGTGTTGATTGGCTGATGAGTAACCAATCAGATCGTGCTGTGGGTGGGACATTGCTCCAGACTACATAGCGGTGACCACAGATAAAAAGACTGCATTAGAGCCAAAGTAAAGATTTTTTTGAATGGTGAGGTTAGGGTTAATGTTCTTTCACTGCAAGATTGTTTAGGATAATCCTGAATGAAATCACCTTTCAGTTTTTTCCTGGCTTATTGCAAGTCATTTAGAGATTTGTAATGGGAACTGAGTAATTATTATACATGCATGTTTCCTGTTGTACAGAAAAAAAAATAGTTTCATTCACAACTTTTCCTATCAATCAAGAATAATTTTTAAGTAGCCCATTTTGAAAGATCATAATAATAGTGGTGGTCTGTTCTTGTGAGACCAGTAGGTTTCGAGATGCTTTTAAATCTGCATTATATTCCTTACTTTACCCTTTAAGTCTCCAAATTCATCCTTACTGTATTTATAGGGCAGGTGACTGCAGCTGTGTGGGTATCTGCATGTATGTGTCAGTGTGGGTTTTTGAGCAAATGTGCAAGTCTTTGTTACTGCATGGGTAAGTTGCTGTAAATTACACAAAAGAGACTCCTCCTCCTTTGTGTCCTTGAAACAGAGATGATACTGTGTCAAAGGAACTCATGACTCACCAACCTGTGGAAGATGAAAAACTATTTTGGGTGAAAGTCTGACCAGTCCTCTTCTTCCTTAGTTACATTCGAGTTGCTCCTGGGCCCTAATGCTTTTGTATTTAGGATGTTTACATAAGATGGACATCATCACAAAGAGAAGTGTGTTGTACTGTGAAACTGTGAGCTAAACCGAGTGAGCAGTGGCTGGGGAATGCAATGAATTCGAGCTATGTAGCTGATACTGACGAGCAGGACTTTCAAGTTCTGCAGCAGAGAGAACACATGACACATCAGGTTAAGGTTCAGGCTTTATTCTGTATTGTTTATGTTTTCCTGTTACCGCTGAAATGTTAGTTCATTACTGAGTTTATGAAGCATAGCTCTGAGAAAAGTAAATAAGTGCGGTGAGCTGGTCTGTACTTGCTTTGGGTTCATCCAGTCGAGCAAGACAAACGATTACGCCCTCAACAACAGGCCCTCTAACCTGACAGAAGGCATGTCTGCAGAGACTGGTGCCAAATCTGCTTTCTTGTGCAGTTACATATGCCTTTCATTAGGAGTGTTTACCAACAGCATGACTAATACCTGCTCTGTGTGTCTCATTCTACTGGGTTGGCAGTCAGTCTGAACAGGATTTGGGTCTCTGTAGAAGAAACAGTAGCTTGTTAGGTCATATGTTGTCCACGTCCTGTAAGGAGTGATGAAACTTGTTGTAAAGTTCTGTGTCGTGAGATATTTTTAAAAAAACGGTTTCACCTTAACATCCCTCATTGAAACAAAACACCAAACAAATCCATGTAACCATTTTACGTTGTGTAATGTGCATGAAGGTTATGTCTGGTACATTCCCTTGACATTTCCTTGTACAGCTGCATGGTTTGCATATGATCTGGTTTGTAGTGACAGTCTCTCTCTGTTACAGACCCAGTCCACACGCACCAGAGGTACCACAGCGATTACAGCTCATCCAGTGAAAGCCCCTCAGTGACCTCCTCCGATCCAGAGTACAGGCAAGGTAACAGATGCCTGTGAGGAATCCTTTACCATGTCATTGTTATGTTTTTCATGGAGCTATATCCAGTACAGAGTGATGTAATGGGATTTGTGTGTGCAAACTTTAAGGAACAGTTGGCAGGTGCTGCACATACATAACTTTTTTTTCCTCGTTGTGTGCATGCAACGCGAGTAAAATTTAAAGAGCAGTACATTTTCAAAATAGCAGTAACATTTCCAGCACAACGGATGAAATAAATCAGGTAATAGAAAAGAAGAAGTACCCGCAATGGGACTACATGCTTCTCAATCAGTTTCTGTGGATCCGGAGCCCTGCTGGTTTTTATTTAGGTTGTCTAATCAATGACAGATTTACACCTGGAAGGGTGATTGAATGCATTTAACTAGAAAACCAGCAGTGTTCTGGACAGCAAAGACGGGGACTGAAAACGACTGGCAAAAGATATCAATTATTCTTTGTCTCTTCTGACCACTAACTGTGGGCTGTTCTGCTCATAGCCAGATTCTCTACAGGCTTATGGCCAAATCCCAAAGTATACACTTCGTAGGCTTGAAATCATGAAGTTTGCTGCTTTGATTTGATTTCAAGAAGCACAACAGCTGCCTTGGCAGTTACCCGCTTCAAGGTAATTTCCAAATCACCTGCTTTCCTGGTGTTGCTTATGGAATTAGATCACATCCTCCTCTATGATGGGTTTCACAAGATAGTTGCACAAGATAACATGCTTTTTCGCTATCAGTGCAAAAGGAAATTGTGCAATAAAAATAACCAAGACAGCAGTATCATGATAGTAACAGACAGTGTGAGTAATGGTGTCACTGCTGTGGCTAATCAAGACTAATTTCTCTAACATTGTCAGCACAATAAATCAATACGTTTAGTTAAGGTTCTCCTACACATGAACACATGCTAGTCTAATGTTTAAGGCATTTCTCAGTCGGCTGGACTCTTGTTACATATCATCCTCGACTCTCTTCCCATGTTTAGTGTTCATCTCTACTGCTGCGATCAAATCAAATAGCAAAAATAAAAAAAAAAGAAAATAATAAGTATGACCTAACACCCACACTCCATTCAACACTGTCTCCATTTTGAGCCAAAGTTTGACATTGAATTGAGTCAGCTGTGAAAAATGTTGACATTGAAGTGGAGAAAGTTCCATTTGGAAATGTCTGAAGTATATTAAAGGTGCTCTAAAAAGAAAGCCTGTTTGAATTCCTTTCAAATGAAGTGTACAATTAAGTCATAACCTCTAAGACACAGAGATGTCTGAGACATATTGTTGCTGTAATGCAAACAGCAGCCTTCCACACACACACACTTTCAATGCAGGCCGAAAGCCGTTCTATTTGCGGTGTTGATTCGACCTGGCTTCAGTATTCTGCAACTGCTGCTTTGACACGTTCATACAGGTACATTCACAGCACAGTGTGGGTGTCTGCATCTGAAGGAGTGTATTTGATTGTGTACTCCTGAAAACAAGCTGTAGTCCTTTGTGTTTGTTTGTGCAGCTCATATTGCTGTGTCTCTTCCAGCTAAGAAACCAGGCGAAGGGATGAGGTATGGCTCCCAGCTGGCACTTTCATCTGAGCACGACGCCCTTTCACTGACGAGTCGCAACAGACACAGGTAAAACACACACCAGTGCTGCTTGTTCTCCCCCAACTGGCCACCCTGGAGCTAGATTAGTCTTATCTATATACAAGTCTCTCCCTTTGTGGAACCTATTAGATCATGTCCAATCTTCAAGTTTTGTTCAGTTAGTCATATTAAAGTAAAAATTGCTGCATGTTAAATGTATTGTTTATGTGTGGGGCTACAGTTCATGAGTTAGCACTGTCACTGCACAACAGCGAGGTTCTGGATTTGAACCTGCTGGTCATCTGGGGCCTTTTTCTGTGAGCTTGCATTTGTCGAAATGTGAGTTTGTGTGAGTTTCCAGCTGGTATAAACGCCAGCCCCCTTGTGATCCTCTACGGGATAAAGCAGGTATAACAGACGGATGATAGTGCGGTATTATGTAGCCCCTCTTCACCCACACTCCCCCCCAGTAGATCCTTAAGACTCTGTAATGGCTGTTCTGACTGAACTGATTTGGCATTTGTGAAGATGGTTTAATAATTGATTTGATGATTGAGATTGGGTTGGAAATATTGCATAAACGCCTGCTCACATGCACATCAGCGTGTATGCCTTCAATCAACATAGTTGTATGTGTTAGCTCATTTTTTCCCTCGAAGAATCAGTGCCTTCACCACAAAGCCTCCACTGAACAGTGAAGCCACAGATGAAGCTGTCCTGTTTGGTCCTCTGGGCCACACACACAGCTGGTGTAGCGCAGCAGGGTCAGGCCCATGCTTCACTAGTGAGGTCATCTAATGTGACATCCACATTCAGCATTCTCTATCTCTCTAATCTCTGGCATTACAGACCTGAACTGCCTGCTGTTGCTGCTGCTGTGTCTGCTGACAGAAAAACCACGTTTTCAATCTGTTGCACTCCCCAGAGCTCTTTTTTTCCCCCCGAAAACATCAGGCATCTCATACGTAACATCTCTTTGTAATCCTTCTGGAAAAGTGAAACAAAGACAGGCATCACATTTAAAACAACAGACTCCTGCATTAAACAGTTGTTTCCTTTCAGCTTTTTAGACATTATCAAACTGTTCCGACACCCACCCTCTTCCTCTCTTTTCCCTGCAGACAAAGTGAGGGGGCAGCGGATGAAGGTCTGGTTGGAGCCGAGCTGCTCCTCCAGAGGCAGGAGGAGGAGGTGCAGCGGCTCCAGGCCCACCTGGCCAGCAGGCTGTCCAGGGCCAATCTCTACCCCACAGATGACCCCTTGGTCCCATCTTCCATGCTCGACCTTCAAGACCCTCTTTACACCTCTTCTTTACCGCTCCGCAAAAACAAGGTTTGTGCTCAGTGACGTGCCGCATATGATCATCTGTGATGTTATGACGATCCGTGCAGTTGTTTGGGCTTTAATTTCAGAGACAAAAATGATTGTCACTTAAGTACAGCTTTCTTTATCACTTAGAGCACATAAACACACACGTGATACAGCCACCTCCACAAAGCGATTCAAAGATATCGTTTCAACACTCGTACTGCAACTGGAACTCACTGCTTGCAAGACCTGACTATCCACGGCTTGAAGCTTGTTTGTATTGCAATATTTGATGATGGATGTATAATTTTAAATCGCTTGAGCTCATTGGCAACAAAATTGTTGAGGCTGTGCTCGCTGGATGTTCTGCTGACTGGAATACATAATTCATTTCAGCCTCCGTATGGTAATTACAAATATGTGGGGTTGTGGAACATGTGGGATTTTTGGGGGTAAGTCTGATTTATCCCACCTACTATCACGAACTGTGAAAATGTGTCAACACAAGTGGTAAGCATAACAACAAATCTGCTGATGTTGGCAGCAAACCTCAAATATTGTATATTATTATGCTGCTAATAGGTTAATCATACTTGCAAAGGCGAGACATTTTTGCTGCAGTATGTTTGTGGTAGATTTAAATTGATGTAATTTAGGATGTGGGGGTTTCCAGTTGGAAAAACTAAAGAGCTTTAAACTGAAAGAAAGGAATCCTGCTCTTCCACTTCTGATGAGACTCGATTACAGTAGAAAGTTAGCAAACTCAACAAGGAAGTGAGTGCACAGCATCGTATGAGTTTCTGTCATTGATATGATGGGAAAGGAAGTGTTTTAATTGTTTTTCAGAGCTGATCATGAATCGTATGTGTGTTGCTGATGTCATGTAATTAATCAGCAGTTTGATACAGCCAGTAGTAATTACATCAAGAAACAAATGAAAAAAGCCCAACGTTCAAAATTACTTTTTAAAACATTAGCTAGATAAAGTTTCTCTCAATAACAACAACTTTTATTTTTACACCAATGGCAGAACTTTCACGGACCCGAGTTTGTGAAGATGGCCAGCGAGCCCTGCGTCCCCTTGTCTGTTCCCTCTTCAATAATGGTGAGGACGTAAATGTCTTGAAGCCAGTGTTTTCATGATGTTGTATCTTCTATTTTTAAACCGCTGCTCCATCTGCTTTTTACTCCAGAAACGCGGTAAGGTGGACGAAGTGCAGAGGAAGGTGGGCGTGGTGCTGCTGAATGGCCAAAAGCTGGAGCTGAGCTGTGACATCAAGGCAGTGTGCAAAGACGTTCTTGATATGGTGGTTGCCCACATCGGGCTGGTGGAGCACCATCTCTTCGGCCTCGCATACCTCAGAGGTACTTTGTGTTGCTCTTTGGGATGTTTGTGGTTTGAGGTGTGTGTGGGTGAGATACCTGTATTTGCTGATGTGAGTGTGCACCTGCTTGTGTTATGTCGCCACCTTACAACAGTGTTTATTAGTTATTCCTCGCTAGTTCAGGTTGTTGGTTGGTTTTTAAAGCTTCATTTCACGCATGTGAAAAGATTCTGATAATTCAGTGTTGATAGTGAAAGACTTAAAATGGATTTGAATGTATTCTAGAATAACTTTAAATGCAAAATATACAACTGTAAGATCACATGTATTAAGTGCAGTTTGGTTAGTTTTCATGGAGGTTTATTGTAATTCCATGTAGATTCATTTACTCCACCTGATGTCTCATAAAGGTACAAAAAGTATGCCTGCCTGACCTCACTGACTGGCTTCTCTTCACTCCTCTCCTCCTAAAAATCACACACACACAGAACATGAGTTTTTCTTCGTCGAACCTGATGCCAAATTGTCCAAAGTGGCCCCCGAGGGATGGAAGGAGGAGCCTAAGAAAAGGAGATCTGACGTGCCTTTTAACCTTTTTTTACGCATCAAATTCTTCCTCGATGATGTCAATCTCATACAGTAAGTGAACATTTTAGCCAAAAGCCTAAACGACACGAGTTTCATCATCACACAGCATATGTTGCCGTATCATATGTAAGATAACCAAAGATCTGACTGTGCCTTTGTGGATAACAGGCATGCTATGACCAAACATCAGTACTACCTTCAGCTGAGGAAAGATATCTTGGAGGAAAGGATGCGGTGTAACACAGAAAACGCCATGCTGCTGGCTTCACTGGCATTGCAGGCTGAATTCAGTGACTACCAACCTGAGGTACCCAATCTTCTTTTTTCCTCTTTAAAGTACTAATTTAAACTGAATCTGATTATGATTTTAATTATTTATTTCAGTTACCTTTCTATTTGTTTAATCACTCTTCTGTATACAAACCATATTTACATAAAACATTTTAAAATCACAATATTAAAACACAATGTAAATTAGTGGCTTGTTAAAAAAAAAAAAACAGAATAGGAACAAAAAACATTGGTGTGATTAAATTAAACATCATTAAAGAACAAATTGATGTTAAGACTAATGTTGTTGATCTCGGTGCCTCAGCTCCATGGGAAGACCTACTTCAGATTGGAGCACTACCTGCCCGTGTCTGTTCTGGATAAAGTGGACCAGACGACCATCAAGGAGGAACTGCCCAAACTTCACAGCAACTACTACGGAGCATCAGAGTCAGAGGCGGAGTTTGAGTTCCTCAAGGTTAGCAACTACAGAGTAAATATGAATCAAAGTGTCATACAGATGGACCAAAATACTGTCACGCCTTGTATTTGTCTTGCTCTGATTTGCAGCTGAACTGTTTATTTTCTGACAAAAACAAAGAGCAATTTGTGCCAGAGAGTTTACTTTGGGCGAAAAAATTGCAATGTTAACTCCAAAACAGGTAGTTATGCCCTGCCACTGCATTTTATCTTCGTTTTTTGGGATTTTGTTTCAGTGCTACGTTTACAGTCTGTTAAAACAGCTCCTTGCTTCATGCTGCTGGACAAAATTTAATCATATCGCATGCAATAAGATGAAAAATTGTGCTCTCATATTGGATCACTGACCCCATGAAAAACCTGTTTTCTGCATGAAAAGGTCCATCATTCTGTTTTAATCTGTCTCAGTACACGTTCGCATCACTACTCCATCTCAGCACCTTGAATTTCTAATAATTTAAGGCCGCTTGTATTGTTTGTCTGAAAGGTGAGCCAGAGGCTGACAGAGTACGGAGTCCATTTCCACCGAGTGCTTCCTGAGAAGAGATCTCAGACGGGCATCATGCTGGGTGTCTACTCCAAAGGAGTGCTCATTTTTGAAGTCCTTAATGGAAATCGCACTGCGGTGCTAAGGTTCCCCTGGAGGGAGACGAAGAAGATTTCCTTTACAGTATGCACTTATCTCTTTATTGTCAGAAATAAAACTGTTCCACACCGTAGCAAATACATTTTCCACGGGAGATTAGTCCGGCTGATCGACCTTTCGCTTAAATGTTTAACTTGTCACTCCGTAGAAAAAGAAGATTTGCCTTCAGAACACATCCGACGGGATTAAGCACCTGTTTCAGACAGACAGCAACAAGACGTGTCAGTATCTGCTACAGCTGTGCTCCGATCAGCACAAGTTCCATCTGCAGATGAAGGCCCGCCAGAACAACCAGGAGCTGCAGGACTTAGGTACACAAGAAAGGAGCAGCCACACATCTGTATGGGCGTTTCTTTAACATGGCCTCAGGCTGAACATTTGGCCTGCCTGAAATTATATATACTTTCACAGAGAACAGAGTTAACATGTCACAGCAACATTTAACACAGTAGACCTGAAAATGACACATCATTCTCCAGAAAACTGCATTTTGATGTCAACGCTAACTCCACCTAAGCTCTTTGGAATCTCTCTGCTATTTTTTTTCCTCTTACCTCTGCTATAATAATAAATAATGACAAGATTTGTTATAAATGTTCCATTAATTGTCTGTTCATGTTCCTGCTCATCAGAGAACAGCCCTTTGAGCAGTTTGCAGTATTCCCATGACCCTCGGAGTGGAGATGCAGGAGCGAGGACGGTGAGCTCAGGCAGCCTGGCCCCCAGCTTATCGACGCGCTCCAACCCGGACCACCTGAAGAGGATCTCGTACTCAGAGGTGGCCCTCAACAAGGCACCCTCCGGCCCAATATTCGTCAAAGATGAGCTTCACTTTCCAGGTTTCAATCCAGTGGTCTCCACGGTCCTTTCCAATCCGCGAATAATGAGCCGCTCCCACCACAACCTCGGGCAGATGCCAGAGTCTCCAGAGCACCGAATGGTGGAGTCATATCATGGCCAGTCGCACAGCGGCTTGAGTCAGCCGCCACCCAACCAAGTGGCCTCTCACTTTCCACAACATCAGCGAGCCAACTCAGACACCGACTCCCTGTCAAACCAACAGGACAAGTGAGTTGAGAAAAGTGAAATGTTAAAAGCAAAGAGACAGGTTGTCTCCTAAACACACTGGTGGGCTTTATGTGAGAACAGTAATGAAAAGTGAGTGTCATATCTGCAGACACTGGAATATTTTAATGTATTTTGTTCTTTTAGTTCATCCTTCAATATCTTACTTTAAATTTAATTAAGGAAATGTGGTCCTGTGTTAATGTGTAGATCCTCTGTCGAGTCTTCAATGTCAGAGTCTGCAGCTCACTGTAGGACACACTAAGGTTACTAAGTGAGGACTTAGTCACTGGGACTTTACCTCTGCCTACACTATGGAGACAGAGAACTCTACCTCCAGCCTCTAATTGACCCTCCGGGGGTCTGTGTGTGTGGGTGCACATGCGCCCTTGTGTTTTCGTGTGACTGTGCCTACCGGTGTGTGTGTGTGTTCCTATTTTAATTAGTAAACCTGTTTTTTGCCGGTTGCTCCCTCCTGTGTCAGCCTCACAGATGACATGTGCAACTCGACTGGGATTCTGTACGCACGAAAACCTAACGGGCCTAAACATTATTAAGAACCACGGAGTGTTCAGTGTAGCAGAGAACACCTTTTTTACATTCAGCCCGCTTTCCTCCTCAGGCTAATCTCCTTCTGTCGCTCTCACCTTCTCAGATCATTTGGCACAGCGTCCCACAGCAGCCCAGCCTGGAGCCTCAGCAGGTCCAAAAAAGAATCTGACTCTTCTTCCATAGAGGATACTGGCCAAGCATACGTAGTGGGTAAGGACGCCAACCTGTGTAGGATGGTGCTGATGAAGCAGATCGTCAGAGGTGGAGAGCTCCACTATGACACATACATCTGTGCTGAAATACTTCTGTGCAACTGTAATTCTGATAGACTCTAGAGTAGTACATGACATCTCTCTTCTTTTTTTTTACACCAGCTGGTAAAGAGCAGAAAGAGCAGATCCAGCACACAGGGGTTTTTTTTATTTTTTATTTTTTTTTATTTATCACAACCACCTGTCTCACTAACAGTAGCAAATGAAGCTACCATGACAACCATGTATATAAAATATGTTATGTTCTGAAAGTGAGCAGTAACTGCAGTGAGTGAGTGAGTGACATTGGTACGTCCCAGTAACAGTGTCATGTTGTCGTTTTTTCTTGTTCTACTGCTGCTGCACTGGCAGGTTCACTACATTTATTTTAAAAATGACTTTTTTTAAATTACAATGTAAAAAAAAACACCCCCAAAATTGTTGTTTATTTCAAACATTGTATATAGATTTATAATACTTTTTTAAATTCCTGATGTGAATAAACACTTTCTATACTGGGCATCTGAAAATTAGTTCCGTTTAACCCTCTGAACACCAAGTGGTTTTGGAGCATTTTTTTGCTACTGTCACATTTTTACTGCAATTTTAAGTCCTACACAATGAAGAAATCTACATTTTGTTCAGTATGACACCTATAATGCCATAAATCAGAAAAAAAGGAAAAAGCGAAAGTCACATTTTTTTTCCTGATTACTTATTTTACAAAAATTCCCCCCCAAAAAATCTACCATCAGCATTTAAAACATTTTTCCAGGTGTCCAAAGATGGTACTAAAACTTGAAAAAACTATCGATATTTTACTACTTACTTTTAAAAACTGACTTCAATGTCTGTGTCCTACCTGCTCTGTGTAAACGCAGCCTGCAGTTCGGCTGAAAAGTCCCAGAATTTTTGTCAAAGCGCTTTCAGTTGCAGCTCAGCCACTGATGGAGAATTTACACATGGATTCACACAGTTTGCTTTTTTGTTTTTTTCTTTTTACAGAATATACTGAGAGCAAACGGTTTATTTTTGGCAAATTTTTATATGAGACAATATGTTCAATAGCAATTTACATTTCAGTAATTTTGAAGAAATATGACAATTTAAAGCTGACATGTCTTTCAAATTTCTTGACCAAACAGCACATCACATTATTAGTGCAAGGACAGTCTTAAAATTGAATATATACAATTCTTTGTGTTTATACAGCTTCTGGCTCTGATAAATGGTGGAATGTCTGCTTCTTCTATTTTTTCTTTTAAGATAACATGCCTTTTAAACTGGCTGGCTGGCTTTGGTGCTCAGAAAGTTCATTTAATTTAATGATAGGAAAAGAATTTCCTTTCTTTCTTTTTTTTTATATTTTACAGTCTGAGCACAGACTTGACAGTCGGTTGTCACACATAAAATAAAAATCCTTCTCTTCCTAGCAGTCATTGAATTTCATAACAAAAGCAGTTGGACATAAACTTGTTTCTTTTGTTGGCTTTTATTGAGGAAAGAGAAAAAATGTTAACTGCAATAAATTCTCAGGTTATAACTATTTATACACGACAGATTTTTATTGCTGCTGGATTTAAGTTGGTTTTTTTTGTAGTTTATGCTGATTATGTCGCATATGTTTGTGTTCACATAAAATGGTCTGATCATGCAGGAGGCATGTGTTAAGACAATATTGTTAACTGACTTTAAATAGGCAGAGAGGCAGACATGCAGTTTTCTTTGTTCTGCAAGGACAGCCTTACTGACTGCTTGTGCTCTGTTCCCAGGTGTCAGTATGCATAGTTCCTCTGGTCCGCCTTCAACGCCAGCTTCTGTTAATGGTGTGTATGGAAATCTCTGACCTTCGTTTCAACAGATACACTATTTCTTCTTGCTTTGTATACACCACGACGTCAAAATGAAAGAAATATCTGCCTGCTCTCCACCATTTTCTTGTCATTCTGAATCCTCTACTTCAATCTTGTTGGACCATATGCTGCCTGTGACTTAGCAAAGTGCAGATATACAAAGCAAAAATCGTGTTCTAAATCTGAATTATATAATGCAGAATTAAGTCTCTGTCTTCTTAGTGCCGCCTGCCTGTGGACCTTAACTCTGGCCCCAGTCCGACCATTTTAATAGCTTCATGCTTGGCACTGAAATCCTTCCTTTTCATCCGAGCTTAGCCAATCTTTTCAGCCCCATTAGTCAACAGTGCTAAAGTGGGAGCCCTTCAGCACCACCGTATGCCTGCCTGGGCTGATTAATCATAACAGTGTAGATGAATTAATGCTCTCAGACTGGGATACTGTTTACCCCTGTTTACCAAAATGACAACAAAATATGCATCTGTCACAAAAGACAGAGGAAATGTGTTTACAATATATATCAGTAAATAAAAGAACTGCCATGTGTGTCGTGTTGGGGCAGACTCGCTAAAGAAGAAGCTCAACGCACTGCCATCCCCAGAGCGAGAAATCACAACTGTACACCTGAAGAAAGATGTGAAATATGGACTGGGTAAGGGAGTATATTAATTTTCATAAAATAACAACTCAATTTCACGCTGTCATTGCTGCCACGTCCCTGCTATCAGAGCTGACAAGTGCTATAAATTGCGTTTATAGCACTTGGTGTTCCCTGATGTATTGTGTTTGAACGTGTGTACAGTTTTGTGCAGAAGTTGGAGCACCTCCGGGCAAATTATGTGTTTCGTTGATTTATGAAGTGAAAAGAAGTGAATACAGCCCCTTCAGCAAACAGACTTTAAAAATGTGCATTTCTTCAAATGTTAATGAGCTGTTACTTTTTATTTCACGGGCTTTAAATTAAACTGTAGTTGTGCCACGTGTGCAAAACAGCTGAATCAGCAAAATATTGTGTGTAATTTGGCCCAAACATTTGATACAATAGTTATGTGTTGAATGTTTGTGTTTGCGTGCTCTCCAGGTTTTCAGGTTGTAGGAGGGGAGAACTCTGGTCGCACAGACCTCGGGACCATCATTAGCTCCATCACTCCTGGGGGTCCCGCTGATGTCAATGGCTGCCTCAAACCTGGTAGGCCAGAGTTTTGCTTTGACGGTGTTTTAGTTACCTGTCGTGTAATGATTGTTAGCGCTCGACTCTTCTATCCTGCTATACAGCTGGTTCCCTTCTCCGTAAGTAACAGAGTTAATGTTAATTCAGGTGACCGGCTGATCTCTGTGAATGATCTAAACCTAGAAGGACTCTCTCATGCCACCACGGTTGATATCCTTCAAAATGCTCCTGATGATGTTAATCTGGTGGTGTCACAGCCCAAAGAGAGGCTCTACAAAGGTAACAGCAGGGCTATGAGTGTAATGATTTTGTAGCAGTCAGTGCATTAGCGTGCATTACCAGTGTTTTCTCCGTTTCTACAGTTACAGACTTATATAGTTGTTCTTTTTCCTTGTTTTGACAGAATCTCCTTCAGGCTATGTCCCCTACCCGCCCAAGTCTTCCTTTAACTCTGCCAAGAGACGAGAACTGGACTTTGATACCTCGTCGGAGGAGCGTGCAGGAACTGGAAGCCCCAGCCCTCCTCTCCACAGTGCTGGCACACTGTCGTCCGCCTCCTCCCCAATTCACCAGCATACCAACCTCAGTTCCCAGGACTCTAGGACAAGCAGCGTTGCTAAAATTAACCAACCCCCTGCTAATGGAGTTCAGCAGTGCCTAGAGAGAGCTAAAGCTTCTGCTGCAGCTGCATCTATTTCCCAGCATCATGGACCAGAACCAAACACGAGTTTGGACCCTATGCCGCCAGCTCTGCCACCCAAAACTAGAAAAGCTAAAGTGTTAGAAGCTCCCAAAGTTTCTGAGCATTCCGACTGGGGAGACTCAGACATGGACGAGGAGACTTATTCCAGTAGTCAAGAGAAAATGAAGGTCAAAAAGGTGCGGTCTTTGTGAATGTGAATTCATTGTTGTAAATGGATTCTTTGCTTTTATACATTGTCCTACACAGTAGTTGTCGACTCAGGACATCTGTGAAATAAAACACACAACGTATTTTTTTAATTCTCGTGGATCAAATATAAATCAGCTTATGTTTATAGAAGAGGATATGAATGGTTCTTACATAAACAAGCATTACATCTTACCCATCAGATGCTTGGCACAACTAACTGCCTGTTGTTTGTAACCTTTGCCTGTCATTGCATTTGCAACGTCAATGCGAGGCACTTTGTACCTGCTCGTTTGCATGAGATCCCTCGAATGTATTGCAGTATCTGCTCGTTTTCTTCTCAGCGTTACTAAGCTCTGCTTTCTCACTCTCCCGTGATGGCTTTTTCTTTCTGCATGTTCCAGCTTGTGATAATTCACCTTAATGCCCTGTTCTCTGTTTGCAGGAATACATCATGGAAAATTTAAATGGTAATGCCCCAGGGGTCAATAGTCTCCATCCAGGAGAACTATTTGACATTGAGCTGTCCAAAAAAGACAGCAGCCTGGGCATAAGTGTCACGGTACTGTTCGGCAAGGTTTTCACCCTCTTTTTGTTTTGCCCCCTATCCCCCCCCCTCATCTTGTCACTGTCGTTTCGATTGTGTTTACATGTGGTTTGCTTTGGTTTGCTTTCCTAACGCTGTGTGTTGGAAGCTTTTGTGGTAATAATTTCCTCCTAACTCTTCATGCATGTGATCTTTATCTTTTTTAATCAATATGGATTTTAAAAAAATAATAATAATAAAGTCTGGCAGTATCTTTAGTGTGTTTACAGTAAGGACCATAAGCAGGATGGGTTAGTGACTTTTCTAATGGTTGCCTACAGTCGATGTTTTTCACTGATGTAGAGTGACACAGAGTGATTTACTCGATTGCCACTAATGTAATTTGTCTCTGAGGGATTTTGAAGGTTAATTGGCGTGGGTTCATTTACTTTTACGCCATAATGCACAATAACACTTAACAACGAATCACTTCACTGTGTGTCCTCAAACCTATGTCAAAATTCCTTAGTTTTGTGTTGTAATAATAATAATAATAATACAAAGATTGAATTACCAACACAATTAGTAACTATTTAAGAATGTCACAAACAAATGAACACTGAATAGTTAACACAGTGTTGTTGATCATTTAGAATTAACCTCCCAGTAATTTTGTCAATAACATCACAGTGGAAGATTTTTTCATGTGAAACTAAACTGTGAAATGATAAGTGCTTTGTTCAACTGTTGGACCAGAAATTGTTAGAAGATTGAGCCCAACTGAAGCAAACACATGGAAAAAAGGAGCATTATTATTTGTGGCTTTTTGATCATGATTTTTAAGACATGCTGTTATCACAAAGTCTTACACGTGTCAGAAATGGCCTCAACTACTCCGTCTAAGTCTGTGCTAGTTATTTTTGCACCGTTCACATGAGCATCAACTAAACTGTTTTCTATAGTAAGATCTCGCTAACATCTAAACATCAACTTTGGTCCTGAATATTTATGGGAAACGGCTTTCAAGTACTTGTGAAGTTTGGTTGACGTTTTCTGTATGTGCAAAAAAAATCCTGAGGTTGTATTTCTGAAGCCACATCAAAGACAAAGCATTTATCATTTAGCAGTTACACTTGAAAAAACATCCACACCTGCCATCAACCCCCACAGACAATACACATAAGCTGTTTTTCTTGTGAGCTGATGGGACTAAGAGTTGTGTCGATTTCTTAGGGTGGAGTCAACACAACTGTCCGACATGGAGGCATCTACGTCAAGGCCATTATACCCAAAGGTGCTGCGGAGCTTGACGGGCGGATACAGAAAGGTGCATATAACAGAGGGAATAAATTTGAGTCGTTTTTTGATTTTTAGACTTAACTGCACTGTCTGTCTTCTGCTCAGGTGATCGTGTGGTGGCTGTCAACGGAAAGAGTCTGGAGGGAGCCACTCATCAACAAGCAGTAGAAGCTCTCCGAGACACCGGACAGGTGAGGAGTGGCATTTACCACTGATGTCCGAGCTGTTCAGTCACCCCCCCGCCCCCAGCTGGCCTTTGACATTAACAAAATCATTTCTTGTGTGCCTCAGACAGTGCACTTGTTGCTGGAGAAGGGTCATCCGCCTGCAGACAGCATCCATGCTCCCCTCACACCTCAGTGCACTCCACCATATGCCGGCAGTGACCGCCATCAGGCCAAGAACAAAGAGCAGTCACTTGAGGTCAAAGACAAGCCAGAGTACAGCTTTCTCACAAAAGGTGAGGAGACAACATGTCATGCTAATAAGGATTATGAAGCGGTGTGGTTAGAAGTTTTAAGAGGGTGAGGTAATCCGTTTTAATACACCCTGATGTGTCCATTAATCTTGTCAGCAGGCTGTGCGCCCGTTTTTAGCTCCGTATATTTTTAATTTGCTTGTAAAATAGCCATTTTGCTGTCATCCTGAGGCCATCCAATCTGGTATAAATGCAGGGTTGGTAATGAAGGGAAACACTCATCATTACACTGATTATTTAGGTCATAAATTCTTCAGCAGCGTTACACTGAGACCCTTTGTTCTCTTTGAACAAAGTAACTAGCTGTCGGTAATCTCATTTGAAAGAAAATAAGCATGCGTATACAACCCATTAGCTGCACACTGTTGCCTATTTAGAGCTGAGTAGGTGGTGAGGATGTGTGCTACTTTACTAGAACGACACACTTGTTTTGTGTAACTGTTAAATGCTACGTAGCCACGGCATCTCAAAGTATCTTCTGCAAAGTTCCAGCAATATTTATTATTAACCGGGAAATAGTACATTTTGTTTGCCTAATGCAGTTGAGAAATATACAGAAAAATACACAACAGCAATAACAGTAATGGTGGACAATGTATTCATCCGTGTTGTGTTGCAGTGTTGTGTTGAAGTTGTAGGTTTATAGCTGTTTTTTTGCACGGTATTGCATCATTCTGTAGTTTTTAAAGGTCCCATAAGGTGAAAATCTATTTTTATTATGTTTTATGGTTGTTATAAACATGGAGGTGTTAAAAAAAAAAAGGCATCAAGACATAAAGATGTTTACTTCTGCCATTCCTCAAGTCCCCACAACTATTTAGCCTCCTGGTTTTACAGGACAGGAGGCATTCAGCTCAGGTGCTACGTCAGACCTGATAATCACTCCGCATGTTGTTGTTTTTCTTTTTTTTTTGCTCACTACAAAGTATTATTCACATTGCAGCACGTTGTTGCGCAACAGTTTTTAATTTGTTTACATCTGCTTCCATCCTGCTTCCATCTGGGATCATGTGAGGTGGTGCACTGCCCCCTCTGGCAAAATGCTCTTAATAATATACTGTAGTTTGTGATGCACCATTATTTTTAAATCCTTTCGGCTTTTAATACTTATAATACTAAACATTATGTGTTGCTGGATTATATTACTGTGAACTCAGATTTCGTGTTCTTCCATTTATCTTATCATCTATCCACTGTCTACGCCATGTGCAGAGTCGAGGGGGGGTTTGTGCCTGTCACAGCACATGCTGGCAGAGAGGCAGGTTGCTACAGGGCTAACATATGTAGGCAGATTCACATTCACACTCTCCTGCTGGCCAATACTGTATAAGCGTGTTTTTGTTCCTACAGATAATGTGTTTGAGGTGTGCCTGCTGAAGAACACTTCGGGGCTGGGCTTCAGTTTCAGTCGAGAGGAGAACGTCCCGGACGAACCTCCTGGCTCCAGCATGGTGCGCGTTAAAAAACTGTTTCCTGGCCAGCCAGCTGCAGAAAGCGGTCGCATAAATGTGGGCGACGTCATCATGCGTGTCAATCAAACTCCCCTTAAAGGACTCTCACAACACGTACGTAGTATCTCTTGTTTTCTGTGTCATAGCGTGATATAAATAGAAATCAAGTTGTTTGATTCCATAATTTATTTGTAATTTCATGTTTCCTACCTTCCATGTGCACGTAGGAGGTCATATCAGCTTTGCGAGGAACAGGACAGGAGGTGACTTTGCTCCTCTGTAGACCCGAGCGTGGCATTCTTCCTGAGATGGACACTTCAGCTTTGGTGAGTCAGTAAATAATACTTTCTTTGTCCTTCTGCACTGTGCATCTTTTAAGTAGTTGTTGAAAAATAAAACCTAATTTCTTCCCCCCCAGACACCCATGCCATCACCCAGAAAGGAGCCACTGACCCTTGTAGAGCCCAGCCTGAACTTAGGCAGAATGTCCTCTCCTCCGGGCCCACAAGGTACCAGGAGGCAGGGAACTGTGGAGGAGGCCCTGGAGAGGCTGCTGCTCAAAACTCCGGGGCGACACAACAGCTACAGCGACAGCACTGATGGGGACGAGGAGGTGGAAGAAGCCTTCAGCCCGAGCACATTGGAGCACAGCAGGCAAACTTGGGATCGGAGTGTTTACCAGACGCCCAGTAGCAACCCGGGACTGGGACGCTACGACAGCACCGGTCAACTGGACGACAGCGTTCAGTCGGCTTTCTATTCTCCAAACTTGTCGATGACAAGATCTGACCTCAGCAACAGGTACCTAATCTGATGATAAAGTAATAGATCCACTGTAGCAGTTCATAGTATTTTATTCATATTATTCCTGTTTTGTTGTTGTTGTTGTTTTTAACAGACTGTGTCAACTGTTTTGTTTTTTTTTTGCGCATGATTTTATAGGTGTCCTTCATCCCCGGTTGCAACTGATCTGGAGTCATCCGGCCTGCCTGTGCTGTCCTCCCCCTCTGCCCCAAGCCCAGACCCCCTGCCTCCCCCGCTGCCTCTGCCCTTAAACCTCACTGTGTCTGGCAACGCACAGGACATGGAGGAATTTGTTCCGGTAAGAACTGAGGAAGGGAAGCTCTTGGGATACAAAAGTGTGCAATCTAAGAAGAGGTTCCCCTAAAATGTGCATCTAAATTTTAAAGATTTTCCAGCTCAATGGTAATTCATACAACTTATTTTGTTCTTTGTTGTCAGGAAGTGGAGCTAAAGGTCTCTTTGGTAAAGTCAGAAAAAGGCAGTCTTGGCTTCACCCTCACCAAAGGTAATGATCATGGATGTTACATCCATGACATCGTCCAGGATCCAGCCAAAGGAGATGGAAGGCTCAGGCCTGGGGACCGAATGATCACAGTACGAACTCATCCCATGCTGCTATCAAAAATAATTTCCATTTAAAGAATCTTTTCAGTTTCTTCTGAAATATGCTTTGCTTTCTCTCTAAGTGTTGGATTACATGATCAGTACCACTTTCATGTTTGTGTATTAACTTTAGAGCTTGAGCTCACAGCTGATTAGCTTTACTTAGCTTAGCATAAAGACCAGAAATGGCTTGGCTCTGTGTCAATTCCCACAATTCCTAATGGATTGTTCCTTTATGTTCTACCTACAGGTGAACAACACAGACGTGAGCAGCATGGGCCACACTCAGGTGGTCAATCTTGTCCGTGCAGCCCCGCGTGTGGTGGACTTGGTGGTAGGGAGGATCCTCGAGGCTCCCAAACCCCCTATAGAAGCCCATCTGCTGCCTGACATTTGGTTCAAAAGCAACCAAGAGCCACTGGGTAAGAAACAGCCCTCATTAATGACATCAAACTTCCCTGGCATGTGTGAAATACAGGTGCTTATATCTATCCTTTGTTGTCCTTGTAAACCTCGTCAAGTGTTGCATCAGAAATCAGAACGAAGAGTCAAATCTAAATAGTTTCGCTCCTTATTCTGTCTGTAGGTTTGCTCCTGGATGGTGGTAGTGACAGCGTGTATCGGGTCTTATACGTAAAAGACATCCTGCCGGGTTCATCGGCCTGTGAGGACGGAAGCCTGAGGCCGCTAGATCTAATCCACTACATCAATGGAGCGCCCACTCAGGACCTGACGCTGAGCGAGAGCACCAGACTGTTGGAGCTCTCCCTCGATGACCTCACACTCAAGGCCACAAGGTCATCCGCTCTAACAAAGAACGATGTGTAGCCTTTGTGGAGTTTGTGGACTTAATGTTTTCAGTGGCATCACAAAATGTTCAAGACATGTGCCATAATCTCAACAACTTTTTCTTTCTTCTGTCTTACAGGGATGGAAAGCCTGTTTATCCTGAGCAGAAAAGTGTCTCTTTTCTCAACAACAACATCAGCCCCAAGGTTTCATCCAGCCTGAATGGTTTGTTTTATATAATGAAGAGTCTGATCGTGTCTTGTCTTATGTGGACTGTGGTTTTGACGCAGACAGTGTTTTCTGTTTAAGGGTTCCTTAAAGGGGAAGATTCAAGAGATGCAGAGAGTCTGTCAGCACTTTGTCCTTTAGAGGTGAGTTCAAAAAATATTTACGTATTTACTGTCTTTATCTTTAACCCTTGTTGTGCTCTGTATTCTGTGGGCGTTCTGGCATAAAAACTTTGTTCAACTGTTGGTTTTGTTTCAATTTATTGGCATGTTAATGACAAATGATTGCAGATAAACAGTGGTTTGCTGTTGTGGTTAATACAAAGATTATTTAGCATTAACCTGAATTACATCATTGGCTTTAGCTATGTTGCTTTTCAGTCCAGCAGTTGTCTACTAAAACTCTGAATCACAAATGAAAGATGATTTTGCATTTTTTTTCTGTGCTGAAAATACAGGAGGAGATGATAAAGCTGGACCTGGAGAAGCCGCCGTCCGGAGGTCTGGGATTCTCCGTAATCGGAGGGGAAAGGGGGATATTTGTAAAATCCATCACACCAGGAGGAATAGCAGAGTCTTCAGGCAAGCTGCAAGTAGGAGACAGGCTGCTGAAAGTGAGTACTGTTTGACTTTTGCTGCTAAGAATTTAATATCATGTTAATAAATTTAACTGGACTTACTACATTATTTACATTTGTTTACTGCTTTACTCTTGTACACATTTCACTTGATGTCAATAAAATGACAAATAATCTTAAATATTTATTCTGCTTACCACTTTATGTCAGTGTACCACAGTGTACCACAGTGTGTGTTAGCCCCATAGTTAGCCATGTGCTAAAATACTGTGAATCAGTTTTAAAGGTTTCTCTGGATGTTCTGAGACGATACACCGCCCTGTCCTCTGGGTTTTAATTATGACTGACTTTCTTTATCTTGTAGGTGAATGAAGAATTAATGACTGGTGTGTCCCACACCAAAGCTGTCACCACCATCCGTAAAGCTAAAGGCCCGGTACATCTTATCGTATCGAGACCACCAGACCAGAACCCAAGCACATACCTGGCCTATCTACCCATCAACTCTGATAAGTGCAACGGGAACACAGGTAGTGGCCGAGGCTTCAGTGCAGTTTTTAAAAGTTTGTCTGGCAAATAGATTTTCTCATTTAAATAATATGTTATAAAGATCAAACTTTATTTAAGAGGATTGTGACTTGTAATTGTTGTGTTGAAATTTCACCTCTTCTGTCTCTACAACAAACCCAGATCTGAGTGAGGACAGTGGAGTGAAGACTAAGCTGTGTACTCCACATGATGAGCTGAAGTCTGGCAGAGGTCCTGCCATACCGCCAATAGGTACGACATCGTATGAGAAAATCAGTAGAACAATGTTGAATGGTGTCGGGGTTTTGTTGCTGTTGTTGTTTTTAACTAAATTATGCCATATGTAAACTTGCTAAACTAGACTACATTTTTATGTTTCACAGATTATGAAGATGGTCGACTTGAGCAGAAAAGGGACACAGAGCAGAGTGCAGAGCTTTCAGAGGACACAGACTGTGATGGCTCTTCTTTACCTGAAGACTCTCCTGAGGTACAAACTCAACTTATTACACTTATTAAAACAATAAAACAACATGCTGGTTATGTTTTGTCTAAATGACCTTATTTTCTGCTTCATCAGAGTTCCCGGAAAGTGACTTGGCAGGAGGAGAGTGTTGACGATCCCATTAATGAAAAGTACGATTTTGCTTTTTGGACATATATTCGTATTACAATCAGGATCACACACAGTATCATTTAACATCACTGTTTCTCTTGAATCAACAGCTATCTGCAAATGAGTGCTGGGCAGCCAGAGGAAGATGAAATCACATGGGGAAGTGATGAACTGCCGATTGAAAACATGAACTCCAGATCAAGACACGGTAAATCCGACTCTCTCTAGTCTCTAATTAAAGAGATTAAATGACAAATGCGATATTAAACAGACAGATGATCAGGGGATTAGAGTTGGAGATGGTGAAGGAGACCTATATTTCAGTATTTAGTTGGTTAGTGAGAGCAGTAAGAGGTTGTACTCACAGTATACACATGTACTGTATACAGCCCAGTCTGAGTTTTAAGACTGGCTGTAGTAAATACATCCAGCATGCCTTCATCAACTACACATGGCACGCAAAGGTTTTGAGCCATTTGCATTTCTGAATTACGATTGCAACTCTATAGAGACTGTTTAATTCCCTCATTTTGTCTTCGCTCAGATGGACCAATCATCACAGAGGACGAGCTGACCTCGTTGCCTCTGGTCAAAGTGGTTCCCGATGGCCAGTACACAGGGTCAAAGCTCAACACCGTGGTCCGTATGATGAGGGGCCTCCTGGAGCAGAAAGTCCCACTGCAGGAGTTTGAAGTAAGAATCATTGAATTTCAATGTCTTTGAATTAATTGAGGTTCATTAGATTTTTTTTTATGAACATCTGTTTTCCTCTCCGGCAGAATCTTCAGAACCTCCAGCCGCTGGATGACTGCCTAATCGGTCAGACGAAGGAGAACAAGAAGAAGAACCGCTACAAGAATATTGTTCCCTGTAAGACAAACTGTTTTTCCCTCTGTGTGCAATATTTCTTAAAATAAATCTGAATAAATAAGCTGGATATAAATTGACTTTTATGCATGTGTCTACTCTAGTCGATACAACTCGAGTTGTGCTCGGCAAAGACGGGGGCTACATCAACGCCAACTTCATTAAGATGCCAGTGAAGGATGAGAGCTTCATGTACATCGCCTGTCAGGGACCCTTGCCCACCACTCTGGGTGACTTCTGGCAAATGGTGTGGGAGCAGAAGTCTAATGTGATTGCTATGATGACCCAGGAGGTGGAAGGGGGCAAAGTGAAATGCCAGCGGTACTGGCCAGACACACCGAGGACAGCGGAGATGGTCGACGACCGGTTACAGATAACACTGGTCAAAGACCAGTATCTGGACAACTTTGTCATCCGACTTATTGAGGTCAAAGACGTCCAGGTGAATGTGTATAAAGATTTTCTGCTCGTTTTCCTATCATAAGTTAAAGCTCCCATAGTGTGACGCTTTCCAGTAAATTAATGAAAGCCTCTCATGTCCCCAGAATGTAGTTTTCAACAGCTCAAAGTACCAAAAAGATATTTATTTTGTCATCATGACTGCATAGCCTCTGGTTTTAGTTACGTTCTAATACAACAGGAGACATGAAAACCCACACACATACAGTCCTTGTTTATTGGTTTCAAACCAGTCTTAAAGATTCTGAACCTCTCTGGGCTTTACACTTGCCACATAGCTCTGACCTGCTGGCATTTTTCGAAGGTTTTCCGATTGTTCCAGTGACATTGCCATCAACATTAAAAGTTATCCACTGGGTCTTCAGCTCCACAGATGCTGGGAGTTCATGAAGACTTGTGTGTTCCCTCTTTCAGTCAACAGCAGAACATTTGGTGCGCTTTGCTCATGCCTCAGACATTTTAGAGTTAGCGGAGGCGAGGCAGGATTATTGTGTTAGAGCTAGATGGCTATTTTTTAGCTTGCTGGAATGTAGCAGTCTTTTAAAATTCATCTTGACTTTCAAACTGGGAGGCTGTCCAGTTGTGTAGAGGCTTAAGAAAAACATCTAAATATCTTAACAGCTTCTATTTACACCTCCAAGTTTCAAAGCACACAAAAGATGAATTTTCACAATATGGGACCTAAATGGGCACAATAACATCAGCGTTTCTCTGTTTCCAGACTAATGAAACCCAGTTTGTAACTCATCTGAACTACACCGGATGGCCCGACCACGGAACACCGTCGCAGCCGGAGCAGCTGCTCACATTCATCTCCTACATGAGGCACGTTCATCGATCGGGGCCCATAATCACACACTGCAGCGCCGGCATCGGTCGTTCAGGGACCCTCATCTGTATAGACGTCGTACTGGGTCTCATCAGTAAAGATGCTGATGTAAGTATTGCTCTTGTTTATCTTGTGAATTATTTATGATGAGGCTTCTGTTTCTTTTTCCTCTTTGTTCAGTGTGGCTACAGTCTCATAAACATTTTTCTGCAGTTTGATATTTCAGATGTCGTAAGAAATATGAGGCTTCAGCGACAGGGAATGGTCCAGACAGAGGTGAGCTCAGAGTGTTTCACTGTTCACTAGCTGAATTCAAGTATTTTCACTTGTTTTCTAACACGTTTCCCCTCTTTTCTGTTCTACAGGACCAGTATATTTTCTGCTATCAAGTGATCCTTTATGTCCTCAGATGTCTTCAAGCAGAAGAAAACATCTCAGGATAGTAGAAACCACATCACGTGCAGGATCGGTGATTCTTCCACGAGAGCAAAACAGCAACGAGAGCTGACACAGGCAGAAATTGCCAAATTACACTAAACGACTTTTTTTTTAAATGCCTTAAAATATTTGGTTCCTTGAGAGTAAATCCTTAAAGAAGTCTATATTTTTATGTTTGCTTTTTGAGTTCTCTCTCTCTGGCTGCTACTCCCTTTTAATGCATTTATGAGAACTGCTGATTGTATTTCTTATTGTCACCTACAAGAGAACACTAATGTTGTTGGGTTTGTTTTTTTCCAGATTCTTGGATATTCTAAAAATAATTATGAAATGATCAATGATTTCATATTTTATGTGGAGCGATGTCGTTGTATTTTGAAGCCTATTTTGATGCTGGAACATGCCTTGACAGAATACTATGTCAGTATTTGCTATGTAAATCTATTATACAGTAAGTGCTCAACTGCCTGAGGTAAATGATGAAATTAAAAGTGTACATATTCATCTCCTGATAATTAAACTGGATACATTTTAAATGTTATGTAGAGGAAAGTTTCATTTTAAAAGAAAAGATTCAAATATTCTCCTTGTCTGTTGTCATTTCGGTGCACGTTGCGCTTTAGCAGGCTGAACGTTTGTCGGCCTTATTGTTTGCATTCATGCCGGTCGCCGTCACATTCCACACTTCGTTTATCATCGCACTAACCAAACGCAGCTTTTCCAAGTTTGCTGGATAAGAAAACCACTGAACCATATGAGGGAGAAAAGCTGCAGCTTGTTGACGGTGCAGCTGTGGACGCCTAGAACATAACAGAATGTACAGAAGTAGCTGCAGTGTAATGAAGTAATGAAGCTGATCATGTGTAACTTGATGATCTGGTAACCTTGAATATTTTGGAGTTATAGTTACTGATGATGTTTTATGAGAAAAAAAAAAAGGAACATAAAAAAAAAATAAACTTCTGACCTCACAATTGATGGTAGAAGTGAATGAACTAATCTTGAGTCTGAGCTCTACAGAGATTGAACTTTGGAACCATAACATTATATTTATTGCCCGACTACTGCCTTGGAATGCATATGTCTCAGGTGGTCATGTAATCCATCTGTGAACCCTGCATGTAGTGACTAAACATACATGTCCTGTATAAATGCACGGCCCTGAGCTGTCTGATAGGACAAGGTAACTGGCTACCAAAATTATAGCACAGAAATAACTTCTTTAAAAAACTCTAGTCTTTTGTGAGTTTCCCCACCGTGTGGTGCCAAATTTCATTGTTTTATTATTATAAAACAGCTCTGGAAACAGCACCCTGAGTTCAAACAGATTTCATGATAGTTTCAGACTTTACCAGCTGTTCAGTCACTCAGTTACACAAAATAAAGCTTTTATTGCTCAGTATGTTGGATAGCGTTTTTATGGTTCATCCGAGGCCTGACTTGCTAAAGGAGCTCTGCTGAGGGGTTACACCGACATGCACAACTCGACATCAACGAAGAAGTTTCCCATCATGTCAACCGTATCATCCAGCATGTGTAGTGAAAGCTTTTAGAATGATATTTGCAGGATCCCATGTGTCTACAGTGTTAATTTTTTTAAATTTCTGATTTAAAATAATTGAAAAGGGGGAGTTTTAAAGAGGTGGAAACAACAAAATTAGCTATGAAATATTTACTAATTGACTATATTCACTCAAATATTGTAGAGAAGTACAATTTTTTTTTAAACTTCTGCTACACTTGCATACTTACATTTTAATACTTTTTAATTTTTCCACATAATGTCACGTTTGACATAAGTCAAAGTTAAATGGTATGTTAAAGTAGACACGGTTTAAACCAGAAGTTTATATACATTTGTTCTAGGTCAGTTAGGATTACTAAAATTAGTTGTTTTTGCTAAATGCCAGAATAATGAGAGAGTTTTTTTTTATTACTTTCTTCAAAGTCAGAAGCATTTCCAAATTTATTTTACAAGCACATTTAATTATTTATGTATGTATTTATTTATTTACTGCTTCTCTGATAACATGTACAGCTCTCTGGTCCACTCGGGTTTTTTTGTTTTTTTTTTAAAAAACGTGCTATGTAAATAAACTTTGATTTTATTTGATTGAACTTTTTAGATGAATTTCTAAAGTCCACCAGCAGGTGGCGGTAAAACACCGGCAGCAAACCTGTAGAAGAAGAAAAAAAGACGAAGAAGAAGAAGAGGAGCAATGGCAGCGTACACATGTACCATGCTTGTTGTGTAAAAAAAGTAGTTTTTTCATTTATTTTTCGCAACATATCGGTAAAATAATCTCTCACAATGTCCGGAAGACAAAGCAACAAACTGCCGAACAACCTGCCGCAGCTTCAGAACCTCATCAAGAGAGACCCTCAGTCCTACGTGGAGGAGGTTCGTGTTGTTAGCTAATGCTAATGTTGTTAGCTGCCAGGCACCGTGAAACTACCAGAGCCGTGTGTTTATGGTTGGTGTTGTTCTTTCCACAGTTCCTGCAGCAATACCGACACTACCAGTCCAATGTTCAGATCTTCAAACTGCAACCTGACAAACCGAACAAGGAGCTGGCGGAGCTGGTCATGTTCCTGGCTCAGGTAACCGAGCAGTTTACTGGACTGGAGGGTGCAGTAAATAAAACATCCTGGGTTCAGTGCAGCCCAAGACGACTGTGATTGGTTTAAATAAAAATAAAATGGAAACAACCGGAGATGTTTTCCCCTGTAGTAGAATGATAACGAGGTGTCAGTGTGAGAGAATGGTCTGGCTACGTGAATAAAAGTCATGGGTGACGGTGTGTGATGTTGAAAGACCCAAAACACATGGTCCCCTCTATGAAACATCACTGATGATGAGCTGTATGTTAAAATAAGTGCAATAGAGAAGTAAAACAACCAAATACATGAACACAGGCTCATGATGTTGCAGAGCTTTGTGTGTGTGTCTCTGTTGACTAAAGACACAAACTGAAGCTCTTGAACTTTGCAGTTTTTCTTCTGGAACAATGTCAAGAAAAGCCTGAAACACTGGGAACTTTTGAGCTCATTGTGAAAATTCACTTTGCTTTTGGTAACACATCCACGGGCTGTATGTGTCTTGCAGTGTACAACAACATATTCTTGCCGTCACTGTGACATCTCACATCAAGTTCCTCTCTGTTCCACTAGTTTTGAGGACCAGTACTATGTGGGGGTCTGCTCTAAATAGTCAGACACCTACACGATGAACCTGTGTTTGCTGCCATACACTCAAGTTTTCCTTCACAAATGAAATAGATTGATGATAAATGCTTTTCTTCTTCCAGGTCGGTCACTGCTACCTGCAGCAGCTGTCTACCTTCCCTCAGGAGCTGTCGGAGTTGCTGCTGAGTTACCACACAGTCGTAGAGCCAGACCTACGGATGGTGAGAATATCCGTCACTTGTCTTATTGAGTGGTTACTTGCATCATTTTAGTTGTACAAATGACTTTGTTTTTCTTTTTAGACCTTCTGCAAAGCGCTCATTCTTCTGAGGAACAAGGATTTGATCGACCCCTCGGGCCTCCTGGAGCTCTTCTTTGAGCTGCTGCGATGTCACGACAAACTGCTCAGAAAGGTTGGAGCACTCAGTCCTCGAATATAAACAGTAGAAACGTTCTCTGTCTATTACAGGATGCTACATTTATGTCCTTTTCTCTCTCCACAGACACTTTACACACACATTGTTGCAGACATCAAAAACATCAATGCAAAGCACAAAAACAACAAGGTCAACACAGTAAGTACACACGTGTGTTATATCCCCCGTGTTTGAGTGTTTCTAGCATTGCGTGATACATCACCAACCTCTGTCTGTGTTGTACGTTACAGACGTTACAGAACTTCATGTACACGATGCTGAGAGACAGCAATCCAATAGCAGCAAAGATCTCTTTAGACGTGATGGTGGAGTTGTACAAAAGGAACATCTGGTGGGTTGAAACTGAAAAAAGATTTGTAGAAGTCTGTTTTTTTTTATTGTGCATGAAATTCTTTGATTCACAATTACTTTGATTTGTCTTGTTGTTGCAGGAATGACGCCAAAACAGTGAACGTCATTACAACAGCTTGCTTCTCAAAGGTGACAAAGGTATGTTTTGGAAAGTTGGAAAGCAGCGCTGTGGTTATTCTAATGAACTGATGGAAAATATATATATTCATCTGACAATCCTCCTGTTCTTAGATCCTTGTGGCAGGTCTGAAATTCTTCTTGGGCAAAGATGAAGATGAGAAGAATGACAGTGATTCAGAATCAGAGGTGAGTACCAGAGATAAAGTTATTTAAAGAATTACTTGTTCAACTAGAATAGAAAGACTTTGTTAATCTGAGATAAAATGTATTTGAGACGCATACAAACGTGGTTCAGATTTCTTGTGCTGCTTTTGTAAAGACCGCTTATCTTTCAGAACGAGGGGCCGTCAGCGAGAGACCTGATGGTGAGATACTCCACCGGCAAGAAAACCTCCAAAAACAAGAAGAAGATGGAAAAAGCCATGAAAGTCCTCAAGGTATCACCGCTGGGACTTCAACAGAGGCAGCACTTGTTTTAAACTGTTCAGATAAAATAAGATTAACTCCTGTGTTTTCTCTGCACAGAAACACAAGAAAAAGAAGAAAGTAGAAGTTTTTAACTTCTCTGCCATTCATCTGATTCATGATCCTCAAGGTAGGTACACATGTCCGCTGTGCAACACAACGACCGCACAAAGCTCGTTTGTTCTACAAAGTACAGAACTTTAAACCACCAAACATCTTTGTTTAAGATTTCTCAGAGAAGCTCTTGAAGCAGTTGGAAGACTCTAAAGAGCGCTTCGAGGTGAAGATCATGATGATGGAGCTCATATCGCGACTGGTTGGAATCCACGAGGTTGGTCATGAATCACGTTTTTTTTAGATACATGTGTTGTTTACTGCATATGTTAGCTTATTTAAAATATATCAACTGATTCCAATGCAAAGACCAGTGCTGCAGGTGTGTGTCCATCTAACTGTGAAATGGGCTGTAGTTAATTTATAGGCTGTTTAAATTACTGGATTTAAGACATGTATAGATACACCTATTAGCCACAACATTAAAACCAGTGACAGGTGGTGTGAAAAACATTGACTATCTTATTATATTTATACCAATCAAGAGGTGGAATCTATTAGGCAGCAAGTGAAGAGTCTTCATTTTTAAATCTTAATCTAATCATGTACCTGTGGGATATGCTTGAGAAGCAAGTCCAATCCATAGAGGCCACCACCTCACAACTTCCAAGACTTAAAGGATCTCGATTTAGGATAAAGGAAGTCGATTCAGAGCTATTTTGGCATCTTGTGTGAGGACCTACACAATAGCTAGCAGGTGGTTTTAATGTTGTGGCTCATCGTTGTGTAATGACGGCAAATCGACTGCTCCTGTCTCAGCCGTGACGTTTCTTGTTGTGGATACCTGCTCTGTGAGACGTGTCATATTTAATATTAAGTATATAATCTTTTCCGTCTGCAGCTCTTCCTCTTCAACTTCTACCCCTTCGTCCAGAGGTTCCTTCAGCCCCACCAGAGAGGTAAAAATCCCTCACTGTTGTTTTGTAAGATTCTCTGTTGATGAGACGTTTTAAAACCATCTGCTGTCTCTGCAGAGGTGACAAAGATTCTCCTGTGTGCTGCTCAGGCCTCCCACCAACTGGTCCCCCCTGAGGTACGTCACAGAGTCACTCAGTCCTATGTTGGATTAAGTAGATTTAACATCGTAGTGTAACACTTGTTCATCCTCGCAGATTATTGAACCTGTGATCATGACCATCGCCAACAACTTTGTGACTGACAGGAACTCAGGAGAGGTCATGTGTGTGGGGTGAGTTGATGCCATGTCTGATTTAACATAGATTAAGATCCAGAAATACAGATCTGATGAAGCTACTGTGAGCAATGTCACTGTATCACTTCACTATTTTTTTTTGTATTTCAGTATCAATGCCATCAAAGAGGTGACGGCTCGCTGTCCACTCGCCATCACCGAAGACCTGCTGCAGGACCTGGCCCTGTACAAGACCCACAAAGACAAGAGTAAGCAGTCGCTCTTTCTTTACTGTGTTTGTTTGTTTTTTTAGGCTACCATGTAACTGTCACAGAGTGTTAAATATTGTCATTGTCATGTGTTTATATTCACACAACGTGCTTCATCTGTGTTTCAGATGTGATGATGTCGGCCAGAGGGCTGATCCAGCTGTTCAGGAATCTTAATCCACAGATGCTGCAGAAAAAGGACCGGGTGAGCTCACTGTGAACTCTGTGTGAACTTAGAACCACTTGAAAAAAAAAAAAATAGCATGTTTTGCATAATAAACAAAATGAGAAAAAATGGCAGATAAGTTGGAGCATTTCCTCAAATCCCCAAATCTACTATAAAGATGCAGCTCAAAAAAAGTTCTCTATTTTTTGTGATTTCTTTCAATAGGTAAACCTTATTTATTACACACAAAGTGAACTAATTCAAGCCTGTTTGTGTTGTATTTTTGATGATTAAGCCTTACAGCGAGTTAAAATCTAAAAATATTCTAACACATAATTTTGAGCTAATTACTGTTTGAACAATTTAAATATTGTGCATCTCTGGTCTAGGGTCGTACACGCCTGCAAAAAAAAGGCTTGAAATATTCCACTTTAAACGTAATGAATATAGAATATATGAAAGTTTACGTCTTTGAATTAAATTACAAAAAGAACTAGCTGAGCTGTACCTGTGTATGATTGAATTATAGCTTTTGTAATGACTTTACGTTGCACAATAGTAGCTGAAATATTCAGTAATCATGCAGGTCAGATAGTCTGTTTTCTGACCTACATAAGAGAACAGTAATAGCAACAAATCCAAAAATCTGAAGGAGAAATAACAATGCTAAATTTTATTTCTGTAGCACTTCTCTGAACAAAGTTTTAAAGTCCTTTACAGAAAAAGAAAAGCAGATCAAATAAATCATCCCGTTTGTGCCCAGCGGCTTAATAAATATTTATAGGTGTTGTCTTATTTCTAGAACTGACAAATCCACATGTGTGTAATTGTAAACCGTCCTTGTTGTCCAGGGGAGACCCACGGAGGCATCAGCAGAGGCCAAGATCAAGGACTACGGAGAGCTTGAGGCTAAAGACTACATCCCCGGAGCTGAAGTCCTGGAGGAGGAGGAGGAGAAGAAGGAGGGAGAGGAGGACGAAGGTCAGCTGCTGCTGCTGTATTATTGAATCCGTAGGATGCTGCAACGCAGAATCTAATTTCACCCCGCGCCCTCTGTGCGTATGTGGATCTAAAGTGTGATGAATGTGAGGCATCATTTTCATATTGTTCCACAGACGGCTGGGAGAGCGCCAGCATCAGCGATGATGATGAAGACGGGGAGTGGGTGGACGTCCACCACTCGTCTGATGAAGACACAGGAGCAGTGGTGAGAATAAAGACGAGTAGCTCAGGGGTCCAGACTTTGTGAAGATTAAAATTTATGATCATTAGGCTGATTTGGAGCTCCTCTGGCCGACAGGAGCAGGTACTGCGCTCGCCTTGGTGGTTGAAAATAATAGTTTTTCTTTTCTTCTCCATACCTAGCATGTGAAACAATCCATTTTGCTGTTTGCTGTTCTAATGATGAGATGATCTATAGGGGATTATTTTTTAAAAACGATGAGGGGAAAGCTGAGGAGGCTGGTGGAGAAGGAAAAGAAAAAGTACTGCATTTCATCACAATGGCTAACACGGTGTTAGGGCTGGAAAATGAAAAAACAAATATTACTAGTGATCATGATTTTTGCATTACATGATTATGATCAACTGAGGTATTGATGTTTATAATGCGCTCCACTCATAGAACAGTGCGGACATGGAAAACAGCTCATGCAATCATGTGCTGTTAGGATAAAGCTGATGACACCGGTTGTACAGATGGAGAAGTCTACAGGCCTGAAAGCTTGATAGATTGCTTTGAAGCTAACCACTTTGCTTTAATGTGGAAGTTTCTGTGTTTTTTTTTTTATCAGGCGGAGAAGCTTCAGAGTATACCAGTTGAAGAAAGGAAAGCCAAGGCAGCAGCTGTCAGCGGCAGCAGACTCCTCACTCAAGAGGACTTCAAGAAGATCCGTCTGGTCCAGATGGCCAAAGAGGTCAATGCCGCGCCGGGCAAAGGCCAGAAGAGGAAACACGTGGACGTAGACGACAGCGACAACGAGTGAGAGCAACGTTTGAGCCTGGAACATGAATTCTGCATCATTTACAAAGATCGATTTGTCTATAGAGCATCTGTGTGAAATACTTCTTCCCTCAGGTCTCGTATTACTTGATATAAGTGTGTAATTACAGTTTTTTAATCTCTTAGAGGGGAGCTGCTGACCCTGAGAAACATTGAGAAACTGCACAAGAAACCAAAAGCAGACAAGGAGACACGACTGGCAACAGCAATGGTAACACCTTCCACTGACTGTAAAGTGAATTAAAAGGTCCTTCAAGGGGACCAGTGGAGAAAATGGTTATAATAATTAATAACAGTGACTCTGGAGAGGCATGCTGGGGCAGTTTGTATAGTGCAACAGTAAGAGGTGCCGTGTACCACTAAGAATAATTTGTGTGTGCATTATTAGTCTATCAGTTATTTTCTTGTCTCATTGTTAGGTTTATAAAACTCCCATCCAGGGACTTGGACAAATCTGAGAGCTTTTGTTTCATTTGCTCTGGCAGAATACGTCTTTCTGTTTATCTAATATGTGGCAGGCGTTGATATAATTAGAGGAGCAATGCTGTACTTCAGTGTTTCATGACTCTTGTTACTTGTGTCCAGTTGCATCCAGATGAATTTTGTTTGTTTTGAGTGTCTTGAAAATAGACTAATTCCCATTTTGCTGGTGATTCCAGGCTATTAAATGTCAGATATGAGAACTCTCTTATGATAAAACAGAACTCTCTTATATGAAAAACTTGTTGACATAATCAGATCACTTGAAGGAGATAATTTTTACCGTCACTAAAGAAAGAGCCACTGAGTTTTTAAGCATTTCTTATTAAAATAAATAGGTGTTGATTGACTTTCTATCTGACCAGCTAACCATTCCACTTCTCGTGTGTTTAATTTTTCTAGGCGGGACGCACCGACCGGAAGGATTTCATCAAAAGGCGGACCAAGCTGAACCCGCACGCCAGCACCAGCAACAAGGACAAGAGGAGAACCAAGAACTTCATGATGATGAGACACAGCGAGAACGTCAGAACTAAAGGCAAACGCTCCTTCAGAGAGAAACAGGTAACTCACCATTCAACTGCATGTGGCTGTGGATAAACCGATTCTATCAACCATAAAGTGGCATTTCAATTTCTAATATTTGGTGTTTGTTTTCCAGCTGGCTCTACGGAACGCCCTGCTGAAAAAGAGGAAGCAGTACAAGTAGGACACTTGTTGTGACTCCCTCAGGCCGGCTGTCAGATGGCCTTCACCATCCTCAACTTTGTCTGTGTCAAAGAATATTGTACATCCTTTTACATCCTGTAAAACTTAAGGCGTGTTAAAATGTATTGTTTCAACAGATGAGCTTCACACATTCACACCGTTCTGAAATAAATCATCTTCAATAAAGATGCATTTTTTATTTCTCGCCAAGTGTTTGTTTTGATTTTGAATGATGATCGTACTTGGTGTCAGCATTCATTCAAACGCTCACAACAGCTGCAGTCATTAGCAAAACATTATAACATGTTGTTGAGCACAAGCACAGAAATCGAGTATAAACTGCTTCTGTATCTAGTCTTTGTTCTGACTTAATCCCATCCAAGGAAAACTATTTACTTGCATAATATTTACACTAACTGCTGTGTCCTTTTGACTTTCCTGCGTGCATGTTTTTTGGCATGCGTCTACTTGGACCTTATCTTCTGTTTTGTTGCTATATTGGTCATTTAGATTAAGAATTCCTCTTTGTGTATGAGCATGAAGTCGGTTCACATTTCCTGCTTTGATTGTAGAAAAATGCAGACGCTACACTGACCTACAGTAAATTGAACCCAATCAGGGTGCGAAGGTATAAGGTGTCGTGTTAATGTGTAATTTAATGTGACACTTCATTGGCCAATATAGTTACATAGTAATTGTAATTACAGTCAAACATTTCCTTATTTTGCACATTACTCTCTAGTTTAGGGCCTTATTTTGAGCAGCATTGGTTGTCAGTGTTATCTACGAAAACGTCTGTTCAGTCAGATCAAATGTAAAAATGAACCCAGCTCCTGTTTGGCTGCTCATGTGACATTGTTTCTTCTATCTTTGTGCCATAAATTTAACTACTGAACTTGTAGCTTCCCAAATGTTTCAACATTTAAATCGAGGTAAGATCACCGTTATTTCTAAAGCACATTCAAAAGAAGGAATGTTCAACCAAAGATTAGAACTACGAAAAAAGCTTTAGACCAGGGGTGTCCAATCCTGGTCCTCGAGGGCCACAATCCTGCATGTTTTAGATCAGGGGTGTCCAATCCTGGTCCTCGAGGGCCACAATCCTGCATGTTTTAGATCAGGGGTGTCCAGTCCTGGTCCTCGAGGGCCACAATCCTGCATGTTTTAGATCAGGGGTGTCCAATCCTGGTCCTCGAGGGCCACAATCCTGCATGTTTTAGATGTTTCCCTCTTCCAACACACCTAATTCAAATGATCAGCTCATCATCAAGCTCTGCAGAAGCCTGATAGCGATCCTGATCATTTGAATCGTGTGTGTTGGAAGAGGGAAACATCTAAAACATGCAGGATTGTGGCCCTCGAGGACCAGGATTGGACACCCCTGTTTTCTGACAAATGTCGACTCTATGGTTTATTTATTGTTTTCTGCCTCAGTAAGTAACATATAAATTCCTACAATATTAGATACAATATAGTTACCTGACTGAAATAAATATTAAGACTCAAAAATATTGTATAGTATACAAATATAATGGAATAATTTAAATATGATTAACATAAATACCATACAAAAATATATTAGTTTGAATATTAATGTCAAGATCCTACCACATTGTTAACATTGCAAACTATACCTGACCAAAATATGACAGTTAACACCTTGAAATATCATATAAAACACAATTTTATATGATATGAGGTTAAGTTTAAGATTAATCTGTCTGAAAAAGCTTCTCAACAGTACTACATTCGTTCAGCTGCTCTGAAACTACATTACCCATAAAGCACCCGGGATCACAACAAACGTGCCAATGCCAAACATTCCTCTCAATGAAGCCGGCATTTTAATTCTTGCTGCGACATGAGGTAACTAAATGAAACATATTTGACCTAACATAGCGATAATTTAACGTTTTATGGTTATTTCTTACCATTCCGCGCTTTAGCTGTGTCGTAAATTCGTGGCTAAATCGTGTCCGCTTGCTTCCTGCCAGTGAACGTTAGCTGTCATGCCGATGCTAGCCGCTGGTAGCAAACAAGCTAGCCAACAATCTACTGTTAGCTTAGCTAGCCAGTTTTATCAGGTTGGAAACAGTCGTGGCGTTGGATTTTGTGTGGTTTCTAAGTGAGCAACGAGCATGTTTTGTAGGAATACTGTTGTTATCAGTGCGGGAACTAGCTTGTAGCAATACTCTCTTGATAACCAAGCTCGTCTCTCCTTCACTAACTGTTGACGTGTGGATGAATGTTTGGTGTTTTATTTCAGCTTTGTCGACCGTCATGAGCAATCCTGCAATAAATCCTTGTGCTTTCTGCTATCGTAAAAGCACCGACACGTCAAAAAATAACCTTGGATGACACCTGAGAGCGTCAACTATCGTTTACACTCAACAGCTAGGTGCGATATTTAAGGTACAAACTAGCTGGTGCTTTACCTCAAATATTAGCAACCGTTACAAATTCTCTTTTTATCCTGATGTCAAAGAGCAGCTGCTGGAATACGTGTACTACATGCATGTTAATCACCACACTGAACCTTGGCATGTCCAGTAGAAAGTAGCCTGCACAGTTTAAAGAATAAATCAGTGCAGTAAGGATCAGTCTCATTAGGTAGGACTAATGATGACACTTTGATCCTATGATATCTGGTGCTACAGGAAAAATGCTATTCCTCATTATGACAGTGAAATAAATGTAAACCTCTACATGATGCTATATTAAATAGCCTCTTAGATATTCATCAGTCCTTTTGATAACCCTCAATTGTTCTTAAAATGATCCTTTTTTGCAGGATCATGTTCATTAGTTGTTCTGCTGTCACCATAGTCAAAACAAAGGAAGCATTTGGCATCCTTGGAAGTAGGTGAAGTAATATGACATGACAACAGTAGATCCTCAGGAGTGCTTCCCCCCTCTTCTGGGACATGCTAGTTGCTCAGTAGGAGGCTCTTTATGTGCCGGACACATAGATGCATAGAAAAATGAGGTTGTTATTGCCCATCAGTGTGTGCTTGGCAGATCTGAGTAGTTGTGTAATTCATCTCAGTCGTTAAATTATTGAATATCTCACTCCACTTGCTCCTTATAAATAATGTAACATAGTGTGAGGATGTTAGCATCTAAAGGCCATGAACGTGTTCCAGCTGACCCGGAGTTTGTATTTGAGTGAAGTGCTTCTTGCTGAATCCCTACATGCGCTGAGAAACCGAACAGTCTTGAAGATTAAGCTTCTCGAACAGAAGTACAGAGTGTCTTTGATCACCAGTGCATATGATGGGACTTGATGTTTTCTGCTCTTATAGCTGAGAGGACTAGTGATGAGGGGGCGATACACTGACTCTATTCAGTGTCAGAGGCAGAGCTTAAAAGAGAGACAGTGCATCATCTGTAAGGTGTGGGTGGAGCTTTGGCCTCTGGCTGTCTGCGCTCAGTTTCGCTGTTCTCAGCTAGAGACGTATCAGCTGTGGAGATTTTTCATCAGATTCAGCAATAGGTAGGGCTTTTTTATGGCTTTGATTGCTTAGTCTTTTCTCTGGCCTCTGTTGTGTTCGCTCGGAAGAAACTGCATGCCCTAGTTTTTTTCACATTTGGTTCCAGTCTTTGCGGAGTGAGTAAAGGGAAAGTGACACTGAAAGGGGGGAGGAATACTGACCAAACTTGCTCAGCTGGCAGGCAATGTATCCCACCACTAATTTCCCCTTTGTTGCCTCCATTGAAGCCTGTAGAATGTTATTTGCGCTGAGTTGCGGTTGTTGACTGCAAATTGTTCTTGGCTGAGCCGGTGGAATTAAAAATTTGGCTTGCTTGCTATGGCAAAGGGTGGGTGGCAATTTATACTATTGTTTACAACCATCTCCATGTAATTGTACTGGGTCAAAGAGGGCGCTGTTATTATTTTCAGCATTTTCAGTTCCTTAATCGACTGTCAAGTGTCAGAAAATAGTGAAAAATGCCTGTCTCTCATCTCCCCTGAATTAAAGGCATATTCACATTTGCTCTTTTCAGTAGAGCAAAATGCAGTGATGTTAAAATTAGAGTGAAGAAGCAAATCTTCATGATGCTGGAATCAGAATGATCATCATTTACGCTCAAAAAAGACAGAAGCACATCAGAATTATTACTGATTTTTCTATCAGTGTTGTTTGAGTACTAGTGACAAAGTTTCGCATCCAGTTATTTTGTCCTCATGACTAAATCAATGACAGGAAGTTAAGTGTAACCACAATTTGTCGCAACATGAGACGATAAATACTTTTATCATATTTTATCATATTTTTCATGTTTGTTGTTTTATACATTAAATTAGCAGATTTAAAAAAAGATAAAACATTAGCTTTTTTAAAACACACAACATTCAACTCGATACGATTAATCCGAGCGTAAGTTTTTCTCTCTCATCTCTCTTGTAGGTGTTGTTTCCTGTAGCCCGCTATGGCACCAGGGGACGTGGTGCCAGACCATGCCAAGCAGCCGAAGTCCAAGGAGAAGCGGCCTGGAAACAGGGCATCGAAAGCAGAATGTGAGCCTGACGGGTCCTTTGTCTTTGAGGCCCATGAAGCCTGGAAGGACTTCCACAACTCCCTCAGACATTTCTACGAAGTGGGGGAACTCTGTGACGTCACACTGAAGGTGGGCCTCGAGGAAAGAGATCTGTTTGTCTTGTGCTTTGTGTCTCTGCTTTGTTTATTTTTCAGCAGCGTCAGCGTGAAGATGACTTTATAAGGAATGTTTAATAGATGAGCCTATTCTAAATGTTGGTTGTTTTCTATTCTGTCTCAGTCTAAATGAATAATGGGCGAGCTTATTAATACTATATAATAGTTGTGCCCTGTTTCATGTTTTTAAATGATATATTTTGTGTTTGTTTGTCTTTTCAGGTTGGCAGTAGGTTGATACCATGTCACAAGCTGGTACTGGCTTGTGTTATCCCTTATTTCAGGTGCGTTCTATTTTTGTATTGTTGGTTTTTTTTTTTCTCCTTAAATAGCCAAGGAACATTTTTTTTATCATCATCTCCAAAAGGATTTAGTGGAGCCATTTGGTCTCAAGCTGTTTTTTGAGTCCTAAAACATTTCTCTAAAGCATCTCTTTGCAAAATGATGGCACAGATGTGACAGTAGTTCAGTGTGATGCAGTGGATGTGTTTTTTAATAGAGCTCAGTTTTCCTTATGTCTGCAGCAAGACATCAGCAGCTCTGAGTAAATGTATGCTCCTTCAAGCTGTTTCCTTCTGTTTTAGTTGTGCATGTGATCTTGATCAGTGCTTTTCTCTCATATTTGTGGAACGTACAAGTGAGACTTCTATTTTAGGAATATGTATTTAGGACTAAGTAGATAGATAAATGAATTATCATTAGATGACTTATTTGAAAAATCCACACAGTTATGGAGGCTTTACAGTGTTTAGTTGAGTGAAAGTCGATGTAATGAGTGAATACTAGTAGTGACCATCAAAATCTGTATTCATAGCAGCTTGTAGCGTGGATGCATTTCAACCTATTATGAACATGAAACCTTTTTTATCAAAGTTGTTTTTCCTTGTCTGAGTGGCTGCTTCTTCCCTCAGGGCCATGTTCCTGTCAGAGATGTCAGAGGCCAAGCAGGAGCTGATTGAGATCAAGGACTTTGATGGTGATGCCATTCAGGACCTGGTGCATTTTGCTTATTCCTCGAAGCTCACCTTGACTGTGGACAATGTCCAGCCGCTGCTTTACGCTGCCTGCATCCTTCAGGTAAACAAACACAAATGTAATCAATCAGCAAGCACTGTGAGCGTTTTGTTACCCATAGTTTACATTGGCTCAGTTGTCCTGCATTACAGTAGAGTGATGCTTATGCCTTCATTTAGCACTTAAAAACATGAATTTGTAGACAGAACAAAATTGCATCATGAAGCACATATGAGAATGTTTCCAATTGTTTTATTTGTGGAATCTTTTAGGTCGAGTTGGTGGCGAGAGCCTGCTGTGAGTACATGAAGGCTCACTTTCACCCCACCAACTGCCTGGCAGTTCGAACCTTTGCCGAGAGCCACAACCGTGTGGACCTGATGGACATGGCCGACCGCTACGCCTGCGAACACTTCACTGAGGTAGTGGAGTGTGAGGATTTCACATGCGTGTCACCCCAACACTTGCGTACATTATTGTCCTCCAGCGAGCTCAATATTCACTCAGAGACACAGGTGTACAACGCAGCAGTGAAATGGCTGAAAGCAAACCCTCAGCACCACGAGGCCTGGCTGGACCAGATCATGTCTCAGGTTAGCAAATGCATATTTTGCACCAGGAGTATTTGGTCTGGCTGGAGGAAATGTGTTTTTATTGGTGTCGTACCTTGTGAACATGTTTTGTTCATGTGGACTTAGACTTTGTGACCTAGTTTACTGATTACCAGCATGTGAAGTATAGGTTACATATGTGTTCACAGCTTTATGTAACCACTTTAACAACCGCAGTTTACTGGATGCTTGTCTCTCCTTCAGGTGCGCCTCCCTCTACTCCCAGTGGACTTTCTGACTGGAACTGTGGCAAAGGATGAGATGATTAAAGGTAACCTAAGTTGTCGTGACCTGATGGACGAAGCAAGAAACTATCACCTGCACCTCAGCAACAAGGCGGTTCCAGACTTTGAGTATTCAGTCCGCACAGTCCCACGGAAGCACACTGCAGGTAGTACTTATATGGTAGTGTTTTGCTTTGAACATATAACTCAATCGGGGCTTTTTTTTTTCTTTAGACCCTAAAAACACACACAGTCAGCTACATGAAACCAAACAGCTATCTGCATGTTCACGTCTTGTAACAGACTCAGAGTCCGATTTAAAGTGCCACGTCGTAGATCATGAACTTACAGACTGTGCAGTCGTTTCCAACATGTAAAAAGGATGGAATATAAACCAAAGGTTGTGACTGTAATAAATTCCCCCAGTTTCATGAAACAGCTTTGTCAGTCACAATACCACAAGACGACAACAGCTCAACATATGGAAATAGTCTTCTAGAAGAAGTTAAACTATTGTCTGGATGGTGGAGAGTGACACAACCTAAATGGATAACATCTCAGATCTGTAGCAGGTGGTTTTTATATGCAGTCATTAATCTATTTATGTGGCTACAACAATCCGTTAGTTCACTTTTATTCTATACTGCAAAATGTGATTGCTGTTGTGCCAGAAACCAATGAGTTTCTAATACATCTAGTCAACGCAAAGTCTGAGGCACAGTTCTCATCAAAATACCAACCACCAAATACTGACAAGTTGCCCTGGGCTGCCTCATTTGAATGAACCTCCCACCTGTTTGTGCCTCTCCCCCCACTGATGCACCGAGTGCTCTGTACTTGGCAGCAAAATATCACACAGATGCACAAAGTGACATTCAAGGTCAGGAAATGATCAAACTGTAAGAGGAAGATCAGTGCATTACCATTAAAAACAAGGAACTCAACCACAGAATCAAGTCAATTAATCAAAAATGTTGTAACCTTTTAATTTATAAAGGCTTCCTGCATAGAAGAACTTTTGGCGCACACACCCTCAGTGGATTAACCAGCACCAAAGAAAAATCACCAGTAAAATAAGAATAGTGAAACAATACCAATCAATTTTTTAAATCAGTTTTATTAATTAAGAAAATGTGTATATTTCTCTCAAATACAGCAACACAAACTCATTATCTTTACGTCTAGTCACTCCCCAAAGGCACAGTCTGAACCAGGAAAAGCCTTGTAAACCAAAGCTCATGTTTATGTATATGTTTTAAAACTTTTTAAAATGTTTGTTCTGCTCTTCTGTGGGTATAAAGTATGATGTGTGTTCTCATAGTGTGCCGACGTTTTCTTCTGTCCAACCATTTCCTCAGGCGTTTTGTTCTGTGTGGGTGGGCGCGGGGGTTCTGGTGACCCGTTTCGCAGCATCGAATGCTACTCCATCACTAAGAACAGCTGGTTCTTTGGTCCTGAAATGAACAGCAGACGACGCCATGTGGGTGTAATATCTGTAGGAGGTAAGAGGATCTTCATTTAATAACAGTACAGAATGTCAATCTCATGCACAGCATTGTGACACACTGTACGTTACTCTACTGTCACTACAGTGGACATTGCAAGCGTAGACATACCATTAGACCGGTGACTCAAATCATTCTGATCACGCACAGATGAAATGAATAGCATTGATTATCTTATAACAATATGATGGCTTGTTTGGTGCTTTCGTTCAGCAGTGGTGAGTACTGTGGTCTGAGGGGAAACAAACCATGAACTGGCAACAAGGTGTTTTGGGATTTGCTGGATCTGTGTTGGCTCTATTTCACAACTAGCTGGACATAAAGGATCTGCTGTAGTGTCTTGGTGCCTGATGCTACAAGGCACCTTCAGAGGTCTTGTGGAGTCCTGATTTTTAAAAAAAATAAAAAAATAAAAAATAGTATCCGCAGCATGTTCACTACATTCCTGCACCAATTTGTATGATTCCCGAAAATAAACTTTATGAACTTGTGATCCCAGCACTAGTACCAGTGTTAGTTGTTGATCTGTGTTTTGCAACTGCAGTTTGCAAAGTTTGCACTTGACTTTTTTCCAAGTGCAGCAACACTGAATAAATTCAACCATGCCATCTTCATGTTTTGTTGTGATTCTAAAAATGTGAGTGTGTTAATTGTTAGCCGCCAAGAATGATGGAGTAATCCTAGAAAGCTGAAAGTGACACCAGTGATTGTCCAACTGATGAGAATTTGGTTTGATGAGAGTTTATCCACCAACCAATTTGAAGACTGCATCCCCAGTCTGGCCCTGGTCTATGTCTACTTGGCCATTTAGAGTTGGTCTGGTGGACCAACAGCATACCAGGCAGGTGTGGTCACAGTGTTTTGGCTAATACAGGACACCACTGTAAAATTTTATTTGTCACCTGTCAGAAGAGCTTCGTTTGGTCTCTCAATATTATTTGTGATTACTGCTCTGCTCTCATGATCGTCACCTTCATATCTGTCTGATGTTGGTTTCCGTAGGCAAAGTTTATGCTGTTGGGGGCCATGATGGCAACGAACACTTAGGCAACATGGAGATGTTTGACCCCCTCACCAACAAGTGGATGATGAAAGCCTCCATGAACACCAAAAGGTACACAGACACAATGTAGTGAATCATTTGTCAACACAGTAAATGGGAATTTGCTCCACTGTAGTGGCTGGACAAATGGTTTAGATTTTTTATTTTATTTTATTTTATTTTTTAACGAAGATACAGAAACCTACAAATTATTCATATTAGTTTTTGCACTATGACCTACTCATTAAGTCTGAATTTTGATTGTATTATTTCCTGCTGACATCAACATTTTCCTTCTGTTTCGTCTCAGTTACATATGTAGGAGCTGGACAGATCGTTTTACATGCATTACATCCAGTGAACCATTTACATTGATTGTAACTCTTACAGAGTTTGATAAATGGCATAAATATTGTCTTTCAGGAGGGGTATAGCTCTGGCAGCTCTTGGTGGTCCTATATATGCTATTGGAGGTCTGGATGACAACTCCTGCTTCAACGACGTGGAGCGTTACGACATCGAAAGCGAATGCTGGAGCGCCGTGGCTCCAATGAACACACCCAGAGGAGGAGTTGGATCTGTGGCATTGGGGGTAAAACTGAAGAGAAAAGACTGAAATTTGTTTGTGATGTTTGATATCTACTCTGCACTTCATTGCTTTTTTTTTTTAATCCTCTCTCCTCAGAGTTTCGTGTACGCAGTGGGAGGCAACGACGGTGTGGCGTCCCTGTCGAGTGTGGAACGGTTCAATCCTCACCTCAACAAGTGGTCAGAGGTCAGCGAGATGGGCCAGCGACGGGCCGGGAATGGAGTCAGCAAACTCAATGGCTGCCTCTATGTAGTGGGTGAGACGAATAGGATGAGATTTCTCTTTTGGATTCAATACACCTGCAGTGTGTTTGCTCTGTCCCCTTGGAAAGCCAGATGATATTTCTAAGATTCACATGCAGCAGCTCTAAGATGTGCACATTTACCTGCCAAAGCCATTTGTCATTATTTTCTTACAGTAGGTGGGTGCTTTTCGATCACATGCTTTAAGTACACACCCGTCAGTTTTACACACAAACACGAGTAAAAGTTCATGGTTTGTAAAGCTGTTTGGTAACTGATTCACAGAGGATGTGATTGTTATTGCACTGCTTGAAATTGAAGAGTCATTTGAACTTTAATAAAAGTTCTGTTGTGGCCTGTTGCTGAGTAGTAGACACATACACAAACTCCTCTTCTCTTGTACCTGCTCACTTAACACCAACATAGACTATTTTAAGCAGCAGACTGTTACAAGTATCTTCTTTCTGTATATTTGCCATTTCATGTCTGACATTTTGAACACGTTGCTCAGAGGTACCATTTAAAAACTGAGGTTCTCGTCATTTAAAACAACTGTCTCCTTTTCTGAAGGTGGTTTTGATGACAACTCACCTCTGAGCTCCGTAGAGCGCTTTGACCCACGAATGCACCGCTGGGAGTACGTGTCGGAGCTCACCACTCCACGCGGTGGAGTCGGAGTTGCCACAGTAATGGGAAGAGTGTTTGCAGTCGGGGGACACAACGGAAACATTTACCTGAACACGGTGGAGGCTTTTGAGCCTCGAATGAACAGGTGAGCTGAAGGGGCGCAACTACTGTGTAGTGTCACATGTTCTAATGTATCGAGGTACGATGTGGAGTGAATAATCTCTTTTCGTAGAAGGAACCTCATGAATCAGGTCATACTGTATGCTGATGTTTTCTTGCCCCGAGTTCTGGATTTTTTCAATTTTTTTGTGTGATACTGTAAGACAACCTATTTGTACATATAGATATTTAAATAATAATTGATCAGATTTATATAGTGCTTCTCTAGACACTCAAAGACGCTTTACACTGTCAATTATTTATTCACACACCTTCATTCCAGTAGTGGTACGATTGTAGCCACAGCTGTCCTGGGGCAGACTGACAAAGGCCTGGCTGCCATTCTGTACCTACAGCCCCTCTGACCACCACCTCAAACATTCCATTCATATGACATTCACACCAGGCAAGGTGGGTGAATTGTCTTGCCCAAGGACACAACGACCATGACACAGGTTACAGGGTGGAATCGAAACAGGGTGGAAATGTACCACCTGAGCCACAGCCACCCCCGATATTTAATGTAGCTCAACAGACTCAATCGAAAAGATTTTAGGCAAGCGAGTTTTCAAGTGTGCACATGAATAAATTATTCATTTTTCCCAACAAACAGTTGAAGCCACAGCAGGTTAATGGCTGTGGCCACACAGTAGCCCTGCAGTATCATCCAGCATCATGAAGGCACATAATGTCGTAGTTTTGTTTTATTCCAAACAACTAAAAATGCATTTCTGATTACATCAGATAAAAGTAGAACGTGTTTGGCTTTGCTGATAGTCATTATTGTAATTTTCGTTTTATGTTTTCTGCTGAGGTTAATGGCAACCCGCATCCTGTCCTTCACAAAATAAACCATAAATAGATGAATTGGCCTAAATACTTTTAATAAAAGAGGTGTAACCTTTCTTTTAAATTGAGGTTATCGTGAGGCTTTTAACAAGCAGTATTAAACCAGGCATACAGTACACAAACGGTGGAATAATAATGTTTTGTCATTTTCTTTTGTTGTTATGTGAATATTACAGCAGTGAAGGGAGACTAGTTTACAAAATGTGGCAACTTCAATAAGCGTTCAACAGTGAGTTGAAAGTTGCATTTAACAAGTGAAATAAAATGCAAACAACAGAAAGCTTGCAATGCAAAAACTTCTCTGCACAGCAGTTAACAACTCCAAAACAAATATGTTATGTTTATTCCTTGTGCTGTAAAATGATAATCATGTTACCTGAACATAAAGACTAGAGGAGATTTGACAGTACCCTGGACAACAGTTTGTATCTGAGGTCCTTTGAGGTGTGATTTGTTTTTCACATTACTGAAATAGTGAATCATTACACAGCTCTCATTTAACTAATCAGAATTCTGCGGTTACAGACCTATAACCGTGTCTCTCACTGATAACCTTGCTTGTGTTTTTCTTGTCTCTGCCGTTCAGATGGGAGCTGGTGGGCTCGGTGTCTCACTGCCGCGCCGGAGCCGGAGTGGCCGTCTGCTCGTCTCACGTCAGCCAAATCAGAGACGTCGGTCAGGGTTCCAGCAACGTGGTCAACTGCATGTGACGGCAACCCAATCGTAGCAGGTGACTGGCAGCCAGGTCGCCTTCACATCTGATCCCTGCACAAGCACACAACACGAAGCACACAGACAACGTTTGTACTGGACATCTTCATGCTGATGGCTGATGTTCAGCTTGTAAACAGTAACTGAGGAATTTTAGGGAGATTTTACTGACTTGAAGTGCACATTTGACAAATCTGAAGTCTTCTTTGACGAATATTCAAGACGCGTTTCTTGACTCCTGCTGGTGTTACTTGCAATCGTCGATGTAGTATTTTGTACTGTATTTTCTTCTGTTTGTCTGCTTTGACATAGTTTTGACTTTTTTTAAGGGAAAATAGTAGCTGAGCCTTGTATTTAATACCAACCTCTTGAGAACGAGAGGAGAGCTCGGACTCGGAGCTCACGGTTAGCTGTGCACATTAGAAAGAAGGACTTTACAGTGGGCCAGTATGAAAGATTGTAAAGGTCGCCTCTAACCAGTCGGTCTTCTGGCAGTTTTTGTTATCCAGATGTGACAAATCAGTAATTTGAAGACATTCATACTGTATTTACCACCGACCTGCGCCGTTAAATCGCTGACATTTCTATCAGTCCCAAACAAAGATGTTGAGATGCAACTAGTTTACAAGGTTACTGCGATTTTATTTCAGGAATTTTAGAATTGTTCCATCAACAGCTTCAGCTGGAGTTAGCTGGATCATACCCCAGCAGTTCTGGCTTTGTTCTGCTGTTACCGTGCTTGAATATTCATTTGCAACTCATGGAACAAATCACTAACTGTTTAGGAGGAGTTCAGCTGCGGCACGTGCCAATCAGAGAAACGCCGTTGGACAAAGCTGTAAATGCAAATCCGCTTTAACCGCGAAGTCGACTTGTTTACCCCGACTTCAGAACTGGTTTACAACTTTATTTGAGAGTCGAGGATCGATCAGAGCAATATGGTGCACATCTTCACTTCTTTTCAAGTTTTACATTGTTGTGTGGAGATCTGTTCAAACTGACAGAGGCTCAAATTCAAGATTTACGTTTGACGATAGCTGGACTGTCAGAAATCCTAATCAGAGATTTTTCAGATGTGTGTGAGATTCAGCTGAGGTTTGTGTCTGCAGATGGTTCGGTTATATTTTAATATATGGACATTTTTGTATAATAAAATAGCCGTATCTTTGGTATTATTCTTTACTATACTATCTAATCCATTGCTGTGCACTATTTTCCTAGAATAGATGTGAAGTCTGAGTATATTTTTGTCCTAAATGGAGAATTTCATGTTATTCATAATATAAGTTTGAAGATGTCTATTTAACACAAGTGGTTCTGCCATATTGAAGAAAAATGTTTAATTTCTGGCAACAGTTTTGTTTTTAAATAGGTGGACAGATGACTATTTACTCTTTTTACGAGGTAAAACACATATTATTGAACAGATAGTGTGTCACAGGTATTAATACTATCAATCATTTTTAATATTAAACTGAAGCCAACTTTGTTAGCAAACGAGTTTTTTTGTAAACTTTGGTGCGTAAACTTTGTGTTGTTCTTCCTCCTCTTGACTGCTTCCATCTTGTGCTTTATTTACATTGTATTGGTATAAATTGGTACAATAAAGTTATGTGTAAAGTTCATTGGTGGGATTCCTCTTTTTTTTTTTTTTTTCCTCCAAAGTTTATGACTTTTGTCTTTCAGGCTAACAATAAAATGGGGCCAAAAACAAAACACCTTTCTACTAACTCCCTCTTACTTCAGATGTGAGAAGTCACCTGTAGCTTGCACATCAGATGCTCTAAACTTGAGCTTCTTTAATGTTCATGTTCATCCCTGCAACACATCACCACCTTCACTTAATCCAGGAGTTAAACATGTTAAATCACAGCTGATAAACTGGAGAATTCTGGTGCTTTATTCCAACCACCGGCTCTCAGAGTCATGCATAGATTTAGCAATGATCGAAAATTTGTGAAAATATTTCAGCAGCTGATTAATCCAAAAAAAACCCAAAAAAACCTGAAGATTTCCTGTTGTTCTTTCAGGACTGTTGAGAGAAGCAAATCTAAAATGCCTCCTTGGCCTCTGGGAACTTGCAAAGGTTTTGTCGTCTTTGTTTACAAACTAAACTACACAATATTTCAGAAAAAACTTGATTAATCTGTAATGAAAATAATTAGTCGCAACCCCACTCGTGTTAGTTCCACCTGAAACCATTTGAATATGAAGAAGATACAAGATACTGTCATGAGCTTGTTTGTCTTTTCAATGATTCATAAAATGTTACTTTTATGAGAAGGAAACCTTTCACACTCTCAGTACTGAATCATAATCTTGTTTTTCTACACCTGATATAACTGCTGAACAACACAACGTATAAATGAGAATCTGATTTCAAATTTGCAGTTTTATTGTTTTGCAGCATCCCAGTAAACGGCGTTAAAAAGTAACAGTTGGAGGCAGAGGTTTGACAGTATAAGTTTATTGACAGTTGGCATGTGGTTGTTATAAACAGCATTTTCTGGACTTTGTGGCTTCCCTACAAGATGTGATTTGCTTGTTATGAATGTGTTTTTAAAGTTTCCTGAATCTCCAAATGATTGCTCAAAGTTTTTATTGTGTAGGAAAGACATTGCAGGAAAGCTTGTGTGTTTGTATTCATCATGTACTGCGTAATGTGATTTCTCAGGACCTGAAAATACCATTTTTGGCAACTTTTTATGTGGACAGAAGAAAAAAGCATATAGCAGTTACATCAAATAACATGTCCTCCCATCCATTAGCTATACATGATCTTAATCCTCACCAGGGTTATGGGGGGCTGGAGTCTATCCCAGCCGACACCCTGGACAGGTCACCAGTCTATCACAGGGCTACACTTAGAGACAGACAACCAAGCACACTCACAGTCACACCCACGGACAATTTAGAATCACCAATTAACCTCAACATGTTTTTGGACTGTGTGGGAGGAAGCTGGAGAACCCGGAGAGAACCCACGCTGCACGAGGAGAACATGCAAACTCCACACAGAACGATCCCAGGCGTCCTCACCGGGGATCTTCTAGCAGCGAGGCGACGGTGCTGACCTTTTATTCATAGAACAATCACAAATAAATTCAGTGCTGAAGATGCTTTCTTAACATAGAATGAAAAAATTTGATAAAGGTTAGAAAAAGTTTTTACAGAACTTATAAAAAGTTTTTTAACCATAGAAAACTTTTGCTTTATCAGCAATGTTTACGTTTGCTAATTGTTATTTACATGTATACATGCAGTGTTTATGTCTTAATATCACACATGCTGGAATTAAACCACTGAAGTTTTATTGACCCGCAGTAGCAAACTGTCAATTTTAATGATGAAATGAGTCAAGAGGTCAAGCGTTGGTTATATGTGCTTTTACTGCTTTCAGTCTTTGGACCCTGGACAGCTGCTGAAATGAGCTGAACCACAGAGAAGATGCTCAGACCTCTGGACACTTGGAGGGAGAGCACATCACACAAACCCTGACAGGCTCAGGGGAGAAGAACTTACAGCTACTAGGATGTGCAGAAACACACCCTGAGAGCTCAACACAGAAAAGTAAGAAACAACAGAAGCTACAGAATGCTTCTGAAGCTGCTCGGCTTTGCTGCTCTGCTCGCTGGCGGTAAGTTTTTGAATTTTGAGATTTTTTTTTTACATTTCTGAAAGTGAACTATTGTTGAAATCACAAGGAGTAAATAGCCTGGTTTGGGTTTGGTAAACCTTAAAGACACATGGTTATCACAGAAATAGGGTCTGAATCATAGGCTTTTAACCAACAGTGTGTCTTGATGTGAAGTACCTGAGCAGAACATGAATCACATGACGTGTGCTTTGTGCTGCAGGGTTGAAAAGTATATCACATACAGGCTGAAGAGCAAAAGCAAATCTCAAAATCTAAATAGAACTCTGTTGTAATCAGAGCACTATCACAGACATTTATATACTTTAATAGTCTATTTATCATAACAAAGAAATAAAAGTGTGGCTTATAAGCTTCTTCAAAAACAATAAATTAAAAAAAAAATCGTACATCGTTTCATTAATTTTGAAGTTCCGTTTCTAATGAACTGTCAACTGCTCCTTTTAAAACCATCTCACTACTAACACTGTGTCACTTTACTTCCAGTTTTAGTTTATTCTACCAACTGTCTTCAGAAGAAAATACTAGTTTATATTTTTAATTATACAAGCTGAGGAGTATTTCAGATGCTGATAGCAGAATTTAATATGTGACATTTTACGTTTTCAACTCACTACACGGCAGCTCATTGCTTAAAACAGAGACAGCAGCGAGGTCTTAAAAGCTCGATGATCAGCAGCGTTATTGCGGTCTTTAAACCAATTAAGGATGTGTGCAGACATGTGATGTTGAAGTTGTTAACGTCAAACATTTACCCAAATATTCATGTGAGCTGCTCAGAGCTGACTGGACTGTGGGTGTGTCATGGGACTTTTACGATTGATGAGCGTTCAAATGATTCACCAGCTTGTGAAATTTTAAATCAAGCGGGCGACTTTTGTACTCAGAGTAATCAGACTACTGTAGAAACCTAATATGAATTGAACGTATGTGTATTGAACTTGTGTTTTTTTGTTTTATTGAGAAGCACAATGAGAAGGAAGAGCTTTAAAATTAAAGATGGATGCATCCACAAAAACAAAAATTCTGCAGTTAAGAAGTCGCCACAGTATTCTAATCTTCATTTATAGAGCATGCTTTAAAACCCAAGTGCTTCACGTGGCAGCAACATAAAACTGACAAGTCATAAAATCATCAAGTTATAATAGTAACACAATATAGTATAAAAAAACAATACAGTGTTGGGGGAGGTTAAAACATCTTTAGAATGAATAGAAAAGAAGTTCCAAGGAAAACAAGCAAAATCAGAAAAGACTAGAAAAAAGGATGTTGTAAGAAGAGATCACTGCCTGAACCGACTGGATTTACTCAGGATGATCTCCCAAGAGCCTCCAGGCCCTGACTTATGTCGCCTGTAGTTTTCAGCCGGGCCTGGTACCGGTGCAGACAGTCCTAAGAGGTCAGAGATCTAGTCAGGAGAGAAGCCATGAAGGTCCCTAAAAGCAATCAGGAAAATCTCAAATCTCCAGGTTCTGTTTAAAAGCCAAACAGTTCTGTGCAGTCTGAAGTCGGTCAGTAGATGACAGTGAGACGGCTTCAGTGACCTGCTGATGGAAGTAAATGTGTCCACACGAGACACACTCATTAGTCACATGAGAGCGAGTGAGATTAGGTTTTGAGAGTAAGAACTTTTGTGAAAGAAATTTAGTCACTTCCGAGTTAGCTTCAGTGTTCAGCCACGATGCTTCACATTTAACTCCACTGTTGTCTGGTCACCATTTAAACATCCCTGATCAGAGCCCCGAGCTCTCTGTAGACCAGAACAACTGAAAGAAGCATTGCCTTTTTAGGGATAAACCGCAAACTGTCTGTCTCACATGTAAGTTTGTCTTTTCTTACTATGTTCTTACGTATATATTTCCTGATACATTTCAGCCCATAGCCAGTGTCAGGACGGCTGGAGGGAGTATGAGGACAAATGTTACCTTTTTTCAACTGATACAAAGTCATGGACGGAGGCAAATGCCTTCTGTTTGGAGCAGAACAGCAACCTGATGAGCGTTCAGGACATTCATGAGAGGGTGAGACGCACAAACAGAAGCAGAAGAGATTCCAGCAATAAACGTTCTCTTATCATTTCACACTCTGGATTCATGTGTTTTTATGTCTTTCCTCTAGTTATGGGTGAGGACACAAATCGGCACAGAGATCTACTGGATCGGCCTGAATGACCATGTGGTGGAAGGCGTGTGGGAGTGGAGTGATGGGACTACTTTTATAACATACGTATCGTATGTAATGCAGTAACATACTATAACATAGTCAGAAAGAGCGATCTTTTCTCTGTTACTCTTCCTTTTGTTACCCATTAACTAGTTTTTCCTTCTCTCATTTGGGGGCCGAAGACCCTTGAGATAATATCACCAAGACATAGATTTATTAACAAAGTGCATTACATAGCTGGTGCAGACCTGTAGATGTGTTAACCCAATATGATCTTGTCACTCGTGTTTCAGATACTGGATGCCAGGCCAGCCTGATAACTGGGGCGATGAGCCCGGGGAGGACTGTGGTCAGGTGGTAGGAAGTAGCTTTGGACAGTGGAATGATGAGCACTGCGACAGCAAGAGGAAATATATCTGCAAGCACGTCAACCGTAAGTCCACTAGCAGCATACACGCAATCAACTTTGTCTTTCAAGCTATTCAGGCAACAAACATGACAAAACTTAAAGAGCCCATGTCATGCTTCTTGGGGGTGATGTAGTGTTTTTGTGCAACTTACAGAACTCAAAGTCCACACCAGAGGGAGTTATTCTCTCCCACAGGAAACTGCTCCTTAATTGAAACACCTCGTTTGAAGTCCAGGATTGTCTTTCGTTACTTATTTACATCATCGTGTAACATATTTGCATAACGCCTGTCTGGCAGCTAGTTTAAATGAAGAATAAGCAGCTTCCTCTCTGTCTGCCACTATTTCCTCTTTGCCTGAGCTACATCCCTGTACTGAGAGATCTGGGATTATGGTACA